CGACTTTTTGGCATGCAAACCGCTTACGTTCGCCAAATTTCGAATGTTTGTCACATTTACGGCCCCATTACTTTTCGCAATCCACCTTTTTTCAATGAAAGCCAACGAAATATATTATAGATCTGAAATCTTTCATTTTCCTTGTGTTTACAGCTTTTTGGAGTACAATTTTCGCAAATATGGGCGGACATTATTTCCGAATGCCGCATCGTATGCTCATGTCAATCTGTCAGCCCGTCAACAAAATAATATTACGGCCACGCGGGACTTAAGCCTTGTCATAAGTTGTTTTGTGTCAGTTTACTCGAAAAAACACACAAGTAGAAACACTACTGAGGCGGTCGAGTGAACCCCGGGCTAAGCGAAAAGATTGGACTCGGGTTTCAAAATTCAAAGTACGCGTTTTTTTGAGGAGGACAATTGGAAGTTATAGGTTCCGCGTAAGCCAAAAAGCAGAGCAAAATTATTTTGAGGGTTTGTAATCGCTGAGATTTCGTAGATGTTTTTGCAAGTTTGTGACTTCTAGCATCCGCTTTGTGAACTGGGAATCTTGTTTACAGTCCGTCATCTTCCTTTTTTGGCAAAAAGGAATTAAAGCTGGAAGCAGAGACTAATAGTAAATTAGTTATAGCATAGAATTTTTTTGTCTGGAGACGTTAGACTTTCAAATTTCATTAACCAAATGCTGGGTTGTCGGCGGATCTTTTTCATCCTTTTTTTTGCAAAAATATCTTATAAATTCAGTACGCTAAAAATTTTTAAATTTCAGTTCTTTAATTTACCCTCAAATTCTGCGTACATTTTCTAAATATTTAGTATGGCCAGCCTCAAAAACAGTAGCTTGTATCCAAGCGTGATTTCCAGTAATTGTTTAGCTAGAGGCTAAGGATATATATTTAAAATGTCATAAGACGTTTTTTGCGTTTAACTTTTTGAACCCAACCCTGAAAATGACTATTTTCCGTGCAAACATTGTAGACCTTATCACGAATGTATCCAAAGCCAAAAATGGAAAAGTGACCCCAAATTTTGTCTTATTTCGGCCGAAAAATTAATTTCACGCAGAAGTTTTTCATTCATCTAGACTTATCGCTAAATTGTCTGAACTTCTAGCAAAACCTCTCTTCTTTATTAGCCTCGAGCAATTGCCCGTTTATTAGACTTCTCACAAACACTGATGATCAAAAACCTCTTAAAATCCCCCCTTTCATATTTCTTTTTCCGGGTACTGCCGATTATAATATAATACATTACATTAGCTTTTATCTTTTCGTGTCTTCAAATTTCATTCCCTTGCCTTCACTATTTTACACGACCCCATTAAAGGCGGAAGCGCGTTGGAGAGAACTTTTCGACTTTCGTCGAAGAATAGACGGGCTGTTTTTGGCCCTCGAGGCTATTGTCAAGGTGCAGGTGCACTCGGATGTGGGGGATTAAGGTGGTCTACGTATTCAGGCATGGGGTTTTCGGAATAAAATTGTCTGAGGTCATTGTTAATTCGCCTTGCATTTTCTTGCAGGACCATTTTTGCCGCGAGCGGCATTCACTTCCTGCAGCGGGGGATTAGATGGTCAATTGCTGCTTTGAAAAACAAGGAAATTACTTTTCTTGTTGTGTGCTATTGCTTCTAAACTCTTTGGGAATACTTTTTCTAGGCCCATAGGCAACCACTAAATATTTTATTTTTTGCTTTGCCAGCGCAGTCAGGGAAATAACTTGGTTTCTCCTCGCCTTGGAATCGACTATTATCCCTTTGCGACGATTAGATGATTTGGTGTGCGACTGCGACAAGGAGAGAAAAATCCACATTATTTTCCCTACAGACTGTTATCAACATTACGATTACTAGAGTGGTCATAAAGTCACGAGAGTTGGTGAGAATATCAACGTTTCTCAACTGCAACTTTTGGATTTATCGATTAAAAATGATTTTTTTCCGAAACATTGAGCACTTTCTTCAAGTAAAATTTCTGAATTTCTTGATCCAAAAATTGTTAAAAAGACCAAATCTTCGATGTCCTTGGCCGAAAAATATTAGGGCTTCCTACAAGCAGTCTGCAAAAAGCGTCACAGCGTCTTTAAAAAATCCTATTACCAATTTGCGCCATGTTTCCTTTGAATCTGACCCTTTACACGGTCAGTTTTTGAGTCAGTAAAGAACAGCGACTTTTTCAACACAACATATCCTTTTGACCCCTATTCTATTTATTGCATACACATCGTTCCTCCCTCATCATATCCCATCTCCAGCGTCGCTACTCCCTCCGCCTAATGACGGAATTGGCCCGCTGACATTCGATATTCCCCCTCCTCCTTTAACATCCGTTTATAATTTACGTCGATGCGCTTGAATGTTTCCAATTTTGTGGGTGGCTTATCCGGGGGGAAACATGAAACTTTAGACTTTAAAAGGATTTTTCCCTTTTCTTCTGTTTTTCTCGAGGTCCTTGGGGCGAATCTCCTTTATGTGCGGCAACAAGAGTTGATGGGCTTTGAAAAGGAGACTGCCCAAATTGAACGGCCCGGTTTTTAAACGTGGAAAGGTTGAGTGTTTTTGTGGTTCAACTTTCGGAAACTCATCTCATCTCCGGATGGTCGGCGCTGGGACTTTATGCTGTTTTTTGGAGGGTCTTTGACAGTTGCGGTTCAATTTGAGAGCTAAATTATGTTTTTGAACTTTCATGGCTTTTGCTGAACCTATCCACGGCCAAATTACATGCGCTGTTGATAGTTCGGGAGCTCTTGAACACTTCTTCAAGGGACTAATTTTAAAAATTGCCAAGGAATTACTGGCTTAGAGAAATCAGCCGCTGAGGGTCCAAAAATTACATACTGTAAGCATCATTTAGGATTTAGCCTTCGCGAGGTACAGGGCGATTTTTTAAGTCTAAAAAGGTTCATGAAATTCTTGGCCAAAAAATCTTTGCTGCTTCTGCAGAGCGCGGCCTAAAAGTCCCGTAATGCTTCTTTAAAGTCCCAAGTTTAGTTTCTCCAAAATCTACGTTACACGCTTTGCCCATGTTCCTCTTTTTCAAGCCGTGAGAACGCAAAGAATCGAACATTAGCGTGAAGTGTGAACTATGTTTTATCTTTTCTAATCCGCTCCAAAACTTAAGCTTGTTTTGACTTCCTAACCGAAGCCCAATTCCCTGAACTTTACCGTAAATTGGCCCGTCTTCTATCCCGTCATATTGCTCTTTCCACCTTATTCGTCCCTATCGTTTCCCTCTTCTTTTCGTCTTTTCATTATTCCTTTCCCAGCAACTCATTGTGCTATCTTCCCATTCAAATAACTTCTGTTCTAGATTGGTAAGGCCATTTCACGCTCCCAAACTTATCATTTATTCAGCGAGTGCGCAGAGGCGTGGTGGGAGCGAGGGTAGTCTATAAAAAAGCGACTACCCATTATCCCACTAAATTTTTGGGCATTTCTCGGTATCGTTCGGTTTGTGAGGTTCATTCGTTACGAAGTTTAAACGATGACATTCCAGGTATGAGCGCGAAAAAACAGAAAAGAGAGTTTGTCCATGTACGCAATAGCAAATTGAGGTTTTGTTTTGCGTTATGACCTTTGTGGAATATAGAAGGGCCTTTATGAAATTTCGTTTCAGGCCAAAATATTTAGTTTACAGGCAAGATTAACCCCGTTTTTTGGGGAACTCCAAATCCAAATTCGTCATGTTTCAAATCCCAAAGTTTTAAAAATACATTTTCCACTTTCTGTTTGCCCACACGCTCGCATTACATACATTAAAATCCGAGAAAATTTAAACAAATGTTAAGATTAGCCGTTTTACGACCCCTGCTGAATCTTCGGATGTTTTTTTGGAAACGGTCACAGTTAAACTGTTTTGGGAAAGTGGCTTTTGTTGTGTATGGAGACGGCGCGACGGAAGTAATTGGTGGAAAGGGCTAAGGATGTGTCTAACATCTCAAAGGTCGGCTGGATAGAAGACCATATAAGGGTATATTGGTTTGTCGGGAAAATAATGTGGATTTGTCGTGCTCTGAAATCGCCGATCATCGATTTGCGAAGGGTAGCCGTAGCTGGAGACTTTTTTGTCTCGCGACGAGGCGAGAAGTTTTGGTGCGACAAGTAGACATTATTTTCCCGACAGATTGACATAGGAGGTTCTGAATGAAATCACTAAGAATTTGCTGAAAAATTCTACGCTTTGATTACAATTGGAGAAAAATTAAGATCCAGGGTATCTACGACATGTACAAAACTTTCAGTTCGCGTTATCCAGAAGTTAGGAAGATTTTCGGGTCGAAAGTTGCGAGAAATTTGACATTTTTCATATCCTCCGTAAAAGGATATAAGCCATGTACAGGGTTCCCGTAGATCTCTATGAAAGACGTCTTCTCTTATGTCAATCTAGCTTTCGTAACTTCCGATGCTTTCGTATCTGTTAAGCTAGTAATACATATATCTGCTGCGGTGATAAAGTTCGATGAAAGCTTAAAGATTGGCAGACCATAAAAGCCGTTTCTACCATTTCTACGGCAGATTTTTGCGTTGTATTTGGGAACGTTCTAACAGTGATTAAAGATGAGGTAGATTCTTAAAACATAATTTTTTGTCAATAAAAAAATTGCCATTTTTTATCCTAAATTTTTTATATTGGCACTTTTTTTCAACCATTAGATTTCATATTCCGCCTCCATTTGCAACTTTATAATCTCTCGGTTGGTTTGTAACACTTGCCCTTGTGCTCTTCAATCCCCTCAATGAGTTCTCACGCCTGGATTTCTAGTCTGTACGTTTTGACCAACAAGATTTCCCATCTATGTATATGTTAGCAAATTCCTCCCTCTCTCCCAGGAATTACCATTTTTTGTTCAGTAATTTACGACGAACGCGTCGGATTAATTAACCCCTGTTGCAAACACTTGACAACTCATGTGCTCGCCTTTCAGACAGACCTTCAAAAACGTCTCTCTCACGGAATCTGCATCTCCCCACTTCTGCCACCGTGGTCGTGGAGGAAGAAGTCGAAATGGGAGTCCCGCCATGGGCATGGTACGCGTTTGGCGCCTGTTTCTCGCTGATTGTCCTGTTCCTACTGCTCGACTACTTGTTAATACGACGGAACGCGCTCGGAAACTCGTGTTGCTCCTTCACGCAGAAGAAACGACCGCCAGGAATGGTGGCCAGCTGTCCGCAGACGAATCTGGCGTGCGATAGTTCGCATCATTATCATCACAAGAGGAGTACGAACATGATCTTGAGTGTGTAGCGGGGAAAAGTTCTTTTGTGCTAATCCCTTTGAGCTCTAGGCTTTAGGCTGTATTAAATTATTTTGTAACATTCCCAGTATGGATATACACAAAGTTTTAGGGTTCTAGTAGTTTGAAGTTTAGGGAAATAATAGTACATTTTTGTGATCTTGGGCCAGATAGGACCCTTTTTGAAAGTAGTAAATCCTTTGTCCCGTTAGATTTCCAAAATTCTCTTTCTCTGCCGCAAGAAAATCGCTGAATATCCCAGCTTCACTTGCATGGCAAGAGCTAAAACTTTAAGACAATCGTTTGAGACTACATATAAAGGTGGTCATATAAGATCTCGGAATTTTTTTTTTCCAAATCGCGATTTTCGGTGCACAAAAAAGTCGACGCCCAAATCGAAAAATTGGCGTCGACCGAAATTTTTACTCGGCACCCAATTCCGGAATCCGGTGCATTTTTGCTAAACCCAACGCCCGTTTTTCGAAATCGGTGCAAAAAGTCTTAAGTCTGCACCGAAGCTCTAAGTCGACACCGGATTTCGGAATTCGGTGCAGGGTTTCGGGGGAACAGTTGACCCATTTTATATTTCTGCTCGAGAAGATTTTTTTTTGGGTTTCGCCAATCTTCAAGATATATTTTATGAATGAAGACAAGATGGAATTAGTCCAAAAACGGAATTTTTACCAAGAGCAGGCTGCCCTGTTCGATTTGATGTCTAGATTTCCCGTTTTCTGCTCGGATAAAGCACCAAATTTTGGGATGTTGTGATGTTTGTTGTACCATGGATAATGTAAGTTTTATGCTGCTTTATCCGAGCAGAAAACGGGAAATCTAGACATCAAATCGATCAGGGCAGCCTGCTCTTGGTAAAAATTCCCTTTTTGGAGTAATTCCATCTTGTCTTCATTCATAAAATATATCTTGAAGATTGGCGAAAACAAAAAAAAATTCTTCTCGAGCAGGAATATAAAATGGGTCAACTGTTCCCCAAAGTCTGCACCGAAGGCTTAAGTCAACACCGAATTCCGGAATTTGGTGCACACTTTAAAAATTTTGGAATTCGGTGCCGAGTTAAAAATCGGGGTCTTAAGTCGACGCCAATTTTTCGATTTGGGCGTCGACTTTTTTGTGCACCGAAAATCGCGATTTGGAAAAAAAAAATTCCGAGATCTTATATGACCACCTTTATATATAGGATATCTCAGCAAAGTTTTAAGAAAATCGAGCCACACTTTGTGTATCTTTCCAATCATCTTCTTTAATTTTTTCTATACACTTCAAAATTTCCATAATAAGCCTTTACATCTACCATTAAACAGTCTTAATTTGCCTTTTGTTATCTCAAAAGATCTCCTTGAACCTTGGCCCCGATGTATTGTATATTATTTTCTTTTTGTTATGAGTATCTCTCCCACCTTGCAATCTCACATATTCCCTACGAGTGCTATGTTTTACGGTCTCGAACCAACCCTAAATACCTTGTAAATATGGTACTACTATTTTACCGTCTTTTCTTCAGCCATTCATTTTGAGCTTTTCGACTTTTATGTGGCTCAATTTTTATGGTCCGCTATAACCAACGCAAATCACTTCAGGAATTCTCGTATCTCATCATTTTTTATTAAATTCGAATTTAAAATGATTGTTGTTTTCCGTACTTCTTTAACCATGTACAATATAAATAAAGACGAATCAAATATTTATTCGATGAAAGTTTGTTTTGTATAGCAAGATTTGTGAAAATAAGTAAGATCAAAAAGCAAATTCAAAATCGGATTTGCGTTTTTTTACGGTTTGTACACAAGTGAATTATTTCCGGACACTGACCATTTTCTGCCGGAGGACGTGACACTTGACAGCTCTCACGAAAGCAGTCACCGCGGACTCTCGCTTATGCTCCTGGAAATAATAGTGCTTAAAAACGAACAGAGGAATGGTTTATGTGTATGATATTTATAAGAGATAAATGTGTCAAATTCAGGATTAGCGGGATTTTAACATTCCTAAATAGCGCTAAAGAATTTTTAATAGAAAATGATGTAAGGCTTGTAAAACGAGTAGCATAAGGTTGTAGATGGCAAAATAGTAAGCTCTTGCTGCATACTGCAACGTCAAATTATCTAATGTCTCTCACATGGGAGTGTCCCGCTCACGCTACGTTCCATTTTTGTCTCTGCGTTGCGGCAATACTCGCAGTATATCACTACCTGCGGAGAAAGCAAGAAGATTCTATAATCTTTCTCTACCAGAGAGCGAGAGAATACATGAAATTCGAAGAGCTGGCAGAGAGAAAAAAGTTTTTGGCCCATGTCTCTGCTAACTTCAATTGGTAAAAATTGAGCGTCCGATTCGGCGAGCGTCCGCCATACCTTCGCCGAACACATGGTAAACATGAAAATGTGCAAATATCTTTGTTTCAACCATCAAAGTTCTTAATAAAGCGTTTAAAGTTGGTGCGATGATCAAAAAAGCGATCAAAAGTCTCCGCCGAATACACTGCCTTCCGCGCTCGCGGAGAAAATGATTCTTTTGCACAAAAAACCGCCCATATTCTTCTTTATCCTGCAAAAAGAATTTTTCGGATATCTTGATTGAGCGCCAAGAAATCGACAAAAACTTTCCGGCACATTTCTCTGAACACCCTGTACATGTTTCATTGATACCCCTGTTACAGTTTTTGCTAACTAAGTTCCTTACCGTAATATCGGCATTGTCAAACCAGCTCTCCATGATCACTCCCTTCTCCGTTGGCCCATCCGACTCGATCTCAACAATCTCCCTTTTCTCCTGCACTTTCCTCACTTCCACTCGTCTAGTAGACTCTCCATCAAGTTCATCCTTATAATTAACCAGTGTGATATCATCCCCATAATCCTGACTTTCCTCCGTCGGCGTTCCAGTATCCCCATCGGGCAGGTCGGGCATGTATTCCGGAGTTGTTCCGCTCAAAATTCCCCCTTCCCCGTCTTTCTCGACAAAGTAGATCCTCCCTTTGGCGTCGTACAGCTCTTGCGGTAGATCTGATGTGGAGCCGCTACTTAGTTCCGATTCGTTATAACTTAACTAACCATCAGTCAAAACAGATGAGTTTTTGAGTACTTACTCGGCATGATGAAGGCCCCCGTTGTAGTCGTGAGAATTATCATGGTTTTCTTCGTCGTCAACCTCGGAGTCGTCGGAATCTATGGCGTGTCTGGAAAGTTGTTGAAGTTTTTTTTTCGGCAAGGACATTAGATAGGAGAAACTCATGATTTAGCTCAAAATGGCTCAAGTTTAGCCTGGCGAAAAGAGAATATAACGCAAGAAAGAGAAGAAATAAAAGTAGAATTATAAGACAACCTTCTAAGGGCTATGAGAATTTCCCACCGACATAAAAATAACCTTCAAAATACCTGAAAACTTCAAATATTTACCTGTACATTGCATATCCTTTATGCCCAGTGGGCAACAAGAATTCCTTCCCCATCTCTTCATGTTTTGGCAGCTCTGGAGCACTCATTTGTTGCTCAGATACCCGTCGCCTCACTTGGTTCAACACATCCGTCGATTTGCTGCGACTTTCTTTGATCGCCTCGGATTGAGTTTTTGCCAACGGTTTCTTGTTGAAGATCTTTCGTCGGACTGGCGCTGCCGAGGCACTTCGAATCTTCGGCTTTGTGGGAATTGGAGCTGAATGACGTTGTTTTATGAGGCGATCAAGGGCTCGCCGGTAGTTTTGGGCGTCTGCTCTGAAATTGGTGGGCTGTATTGGCAAGCCTGTGATTTATGTAGAGAAAAATTTTCTGTGAGCTTGGCAAATTTTTCGTTTGTTCTGGCCAAGACACATAGCTACTTCAAGCGAAAATTCTATTGTTTTTTAATGTATATATGTATCAGTCTGCCGGGAAAATAATGAGTATAATGCCGCATCGAAAAATCGCATCGCCACAGAGAAAATGAATTGGCAAAGTCAAATTGATCTTCACTTCAGCCACGCGATCGGCACAGCGACAATGCGCTCATTATTTTCCAGACAGACTGATATTATTGCAAACAAAGAACAAGTTGTTTATTGCCATCAATATTTATCTCTATAGATGCCATAAGCACGATGACTTACTTCTGCGACAATGCATAATTTCTCAAGTCATTGAGCAGAGCCTCATCGCTCAATCCGTTGTCCGCATCTCTCAGGATTTCTTCTAAAATTTGAATATTCATGCTTTTCAAGTTAACTCACCAGACTTTTCATTTTGATATTTTCCAATGATCTGCCTCATTTGCATATTTTCTTCAGTCAAATTCGCAATTATATCCATATACTGATCCTTTTCTCTGAGGAACTCCGATTCAGGAACACTCTCATTTAGATGCCGTTTTAGTCGAGCGCATTCGGCTTCCAATTTCTCCATTCGTTGACGAGTTTCGGCGGCTTTGGCCACATTCCGATCAGAGAGGAGCTTGGCCACTTCTTCCGATTTTTCACGCAATGCCCGCTCGTATTGGACAACCTTTCGTTTCAGCGAGAGATGACGGATCTTTTGCTCGGATTTGGAGATGGGCTGAAATGGTTAATGAAAACTGTATGGATTGCAAATAAGATGGTTTGATGAAAGGGGTTGTAAAAGCGTTTGCAATGCAGATAGGTTTAAATTGAGTTCCAAAGAGATGAAAATGAGGTTCAATGCAACTAACACTTTGAAGAAATATTAACAACTTCATAGATCTGGAGCGGAAAAATGCATGGCACTTTTCGAATCTAAAGATCAGTGCAACATTTCAAAGGAAAATACAAGTCTTTCGGTGCAAAATTCACTCAAGAGAATGGACAATTCTCCTTGTATCTTACGCCACAAGGTTGCTCAATACTCCATGAAAGCATATTATCAAGGCAAAATTTTGGCAATCAAAATACGGCTTGTTTAGAGCACGCACATGCATAGAAAAGAGAGAAGGATAAATTGAGGGCTACTGCTAGAATAAATTAAAAGAATTTCAAAATACGGCGCTGATACTAGTCGCGGAAAAAAGTCCTGGGATTTTCTCGCGCCCCCCAACTTCCGTCGCGCTCCGAAAAGTTGATTTGTCGCGGGAATCGCGCGCGACAATAAGGCAAAATCAACAAAATTGCACTGTGCAAAAGCACTTTTCGGGTTCATGCACAGTGCAGAGTCGCAGAAAAATCCCAGGACTTTTTTCCGCGACTAGTAATGCTCACCTCATCTTTCATGAGCTCGTCAATCTGCTGATCCTTCTTTTTGCACTCCTTCTCGAGAACTTTGAGCCTTGTTCTCATTATTGAGATCTCTCGCATTGCAAATGAGTGGCTCTGAAAATAAAAATAAAAGGTTTGTAAAATACGTCTGGCCAAAAGTATTTCCATTAATGTGAAAAAAGATATTTTCATACCAACAATTAAAAACTACACGACAATTCCGAGTGTAAAGACATACTTTTTTGGTCCGCAGAAGCTCTTCTTCCATATTTTCGAGTCGTGCCATGCCTCGGAAATTATTTTGCCGCCGGGGTTTGTCTATGGAATTGGTCTGATTACCTGAAAAGAGCCGGCTTTTCTTGCTTTTTAATATCATAAATGGTATTACAATTGGAGAAAATTTGTTTTTTCCGACAGCAAAAAGCTTCTTATTGCAAGATTTTAGCAAATGTTATGGAAATTGCGGGTATTAAAAACGATATTACAATGGTATATTGCTCATCAAATCTCTGTAATACGATAATAGGCGTATAATTCGAAATATAGATGATATGAAAATATTATTATTAAGGGTTATAAAATCATCCTGAGGCCGCACAAGACCTGAATTAATAACGTTAATTGCAAAATACCCAAACTAAGAATGCTCTTGCTCCTTGTAAAGCATTTCCTCCCAACCAAGACCTCAATGCCTTCCTTTCCACAAGAATAAAAAATGCCGCATTTTCCCTCCGGCTGTTTTGGCATAAAGGTAGTAAAAGCGATAGGATTATAAGGTACTGGAGAGGTTTATTGCGTACACAGTACGTAATTGCAGATAAAATTGGGTCATAAAACCGGGGATTATGAAGGCATCAGAGGCCTTTTTTGGAATTAAAAGTCTGGAGTTTTCCAGGAATGTAAAATACGAGAGGTTGCCCTTTTCTACATACACATATGCATATATCACTCCTTGTATTTTCGGAAAAATAATTTGCACAAATTGGAGCTCCGACACAATACAATATTGAAATGGTATGTCTAAAGAACCGAAGGAAATGCCCTCCAAAAATCCTCATATTCTTTGAATTCCCTCTATTGTTTACTGCTTGGAAGCCGCATGTTTTTCAGGTACTTTAGCTGTAGTGCAGAATGGCCTTTTCAAGTTACAGTATTATTAAATCTTCGAACAAAGGTTTGAGAAAAATTTTTGTCAAAAAGAATAAGGGAGGAAGAGTTGACTCAACGTTTAACGAGGCCCTGTGTTTCTAATTTCCGCAGTTTGGATTACCATAGTTTTGTAGCAGTGTGGTTTCGATTAATTTCTATTTTTCATGAGGGTGACTCTTATATATCACTACATATAGACCGCAAGGCAATAAAAAATTAACCCCGTTTTGGCAGACTTTTTTGCATTTTGGTTCACTCTATTATTATTTCCTCTTACCGCTTTAAAATTGGCTTGAAACCCTACGTTCTAAGAGATTTACTAAGCACATATACGTTCTAACGAATGCTCAGTGTGACTTACTTTGTACAGAAGAAACAACGGAGGTTGAAATGGACGTCCTTCGCAACGTCGAAGCTGACGAATGCGATTGGTTGAGGTTATGATGAGGTACTCGTCGAGGGAGATTCGGTTGCCCTGAGGTGGAACTGGAACTCTCGTCGGAATGCCGACGAAGCGCTCGCATACCGACTAAATGCGTTTTAAATATTTGTAAAATACGGTATATTTATATAAGTCTTAAAGATAAAAAGTATTCATTTTTGGAGCATTCATAAAATAAAAAGTAAAATTCGACCCCAGAAATTTCAATAACTTCTCTAAACGGACGAAAGTAATGTGCAAAAACGAGATTTGCCCTTGCGGGGGATATATTTTTTACCTTTTTCCATTTCGTCGGCCCCAAGAGCGCGCCGACCTGAGCTGCCCTCGGCCAGAGGCGGCAAAATCGTGCTCACCGACTTTAATTGAGCCATACTGCCGGAGATTAGGTAGAGGTAAGAGTAAGAAGTGGCATGGGTTCTGGAGGAGCCTGTGGTGGTTATATGCAAAGTTTAATCAACGGTGGTGTAAAGTAGCAAAAAGGGAGGATTATTTTGGGATGACAATAAGAGGGTAGGGTAAAATACGAAACGTGCAATACAGGCTTGTTTTATGGGAAATAAAGTAGAAATCGTCGACATAGCAATAAATTTACGCATTGTGTTTACAGGAGATGACATGTGACTGTCTGATTTCGATAACGATCGGCATTTGTTCATCTCACTTATGTCTTGTGAAGACATATTTTTAACTGAAACAAGCGTGCCAAAACTTGAGTTTCGCAGCTTGATGAAAAATCGGTAAATATTTTTTTTTGCATCAACCTTAGACCTTTTGTCAACCTACTATCGATTCACCAAAAAACTTTAGAAATGTAAATTTTTTCTAAGGATTTTTTGAGGACAGAATTGGACTTATAAAATCAAATTAAAAAACAATTTATAACGTTATTTCCAAGCTAAAAACACAAGTTTTTTCCCGGTCAGCGAAGAAAGAAAGCTTCCAGGCATTTTCCTCAATAGCCTATTTCTGACAAAACGCTAAATTGATTAAATTTTGGTCGGGAAACAGTTTCAACTACCCTGAATTGGCATTCATATGATCTAGTCAGAATATTTCTTCTTACAAAATTTTAGCACAATTTGAGAGTCACCCTTGTTCAATCCTCTTCATAAATAAATCTAGATCTTGCACAACATCTGCAAGTCTTTCGACACAAACTTTGTGTCAGGTTGGATTAATTGCGGATACGAGATTTATCAGTGTTTTCTTATCTTCCCTCTTTTTATGGATTTGCATCTTTCGGTCGAGAAAATTCTCATTTCCTCCAAGGAATTATGTTGCCACGGCAACGCACACACTTGGATTAAAAGCAGTTTTGCTTGTTACGAATTTACGAAATGCTCTACCTTGGAGGCATGATGTGGATTACAAATAAGGCACACTAAAGGAAAAAAGATCGAAATTTGAAGAGTAATCAAAAATATGACTCAATATATTGGTCTTTATATACCAAACCAACAAAATTAATTTGAATTTGACGTAAGGTTGCATGTTGACTTTAATGGAGCGTCCAGGAGCTCTACTTCCCCCATATCAAACAGTTCTCCGGGAGGTTTTCGGTGCCATGTAATGAATTGTTTTGGTATTTTCATTTTGAATTTTCGGACGCAATTTGAATCAACAGGGCATTCGGACTCTCTAAAGTATTAAAACAACAAAAATTCAGCCCAAAAAATCTCTTTACATTTTAATTATTGGATCGATTTCTGACACTTCTTTGTCCATTCCCCAGATTGTAAACTCTCCATTATCATTTGTTGCGGACTGTTCTAATAGGTCGTTAAAAAACCAATCTTTCTCAACGAGAATAACTGCCTGAAATTGCACTATTATTTTATCTTATCAGTTACAGTTTTAGTTTTACAGTTTTGCTATGGAAGACCAAAATAGAAAATGTCACTCACTTCGTTATCAACCGCGATTCCATGGCACAAAACGCGGCCTTTGGCTCCGACACTTTGGAAAAATCCAAAACAAATTGCTTGAGGGAGAAAGGAGAGGAAAACAGCATGCAATATATGAAACATTCTGCTTTGGAGATGTTGGAAATATAATATTATAAAAAAACGGCGCGTAAACATGTGTGAGGGTTGATAAGGTAGTTGATAAAAATGGGTTAATATCTTGACTTGGGAATGATGCAAGAGGTCCCTCTTGGTGAGTAAACTTAGAGCTCACAATCACTCTAAACTGTCGCATCTCGTCCTCTACAAGATCCAAAATATTCAGAAAACTGCTAATAAGCAAAAAACCGACAATCCAACAAAGTACAGAGTGGGGAATCTCTGTGGCCCGATTTGAATTGATTAGTTCGAAATTTGCTATAAATTTTGACATCTGGCCCAAAAATAAGGAAGTTACAGCTCCTTAAAATCGGGCCCCAAGGATGCTCCACCCTGTTGTGAGGTGCAATGTTTTTATAAATGTCCTAAACAGTCACCAAATCAATAAATTAATCGTATAACGGCATCACTGCTTTTGCATGATTACTTATTCCCTTTAAGGCCACAAAATCATTTTTTGCCAATATGTATTCACTGTAATGTACAGCGCACATATGCAGATATAAAGAGTAAGAAATCAGTGCTGCATTCTGGCGTCTTGCAGGTCATCCAAGCCCTTATCGTTTCCGTTCTCAGCACCTTTTGCACTAGCCCTAAGATTGACGTTGATCGGCCTTTACAAAATTATCATCTCTCTCTAATTTGCAACACTTGCTTTTGATCACATTTTGGTCATTGAATCTATCACATACTCAAACCCAAGCAGCACGTGAATTCCCGCAAGGTATCACTGTTGAAAGTATACATAAAAAAAAGCTTCGACTCGGCAAGTTGATCAAGGCGCCAACACAAAAATTAAAAATTGACCTTTCATCATGCACTTTTAATTTACAACAGTTTTTTCGTGCTCCACAACAAGTTGAATACCGGCTCGACTTTCCCTTGTTCAGCATTTCCATTTGACAATATCTTGATAACATTTTACAACCTCAAAAAACAGAAAAATAAATTAAACTTTGGAAAGCCCTTTTATTTTTACGGCCGCCTTGATTCATTTCCGCGTGAGCTGCTGCAAAGAAATGATTGAAAGACCGTTATTTGGAGATATTATTAATTTCCCGCCTATAAATGCCCACCTATAAATTGCGACGCCAGTCATCGCAACATTTCGAACACCCTTCATTCCTGGCGTTCTGGTTATGTCCGAGGAGACGGCGTTGAAGTTCTGGCTCCATCAGCTTGGCTGTGTCGCGAGTATTGTTTACTATTGGGTGTTAAGCGTGCTGGAGAAGGTGACGCCGTTGGATTGGTGGCCGGAGAAGGATGTGAGAGGAAAGACGGTGCTGATTACTGGAGCTGGAAGGGGATTTGGAAGACACTTTGCGATAGAATTTGCCAAACGAGGGGCCAATTTGGTGCTTTGGAGCAGAAGTGAAGGACCGTTGGTGGAGACAAAGGAGCTGGTTGAAGGCCTAGGAGTAAAGGTAGGTCTTTGTAGTAAAAGATCCGCCCAAATCTAATGCTGCTCCACAACTGATCGCTTTAGGTCTTAGCCGCAACTGTAGATATTTCCAAGCGAGCCGAAGTCCATGAAGCCGCCGAAGAAGCAAAATCCAAATTTGGACATGTTGATATTGTCATCAACAATGCAGCCGTCTGTTGGGCCCATTGTACAGCCACACTTGATCCAGATGAACTTGATAGCTTCATCAAAACCAATTTCCTATCCACTCACTATGTGAATCATGAATTTCTCCCCGATATGATCGAAAGAGACGAAGGCCATATTGTTGCGATTTGCTCGGCCTCCGGAATAATTACTATTCCGTTTCAAACGGCCTACGCTTCTTCAAAATTTGCATTGAACGCTTATATGAACTGCTTGCACGCTGAGTTGCAAGCGCTAAAAAGTAATGTCAAAACGACCGTGATTTCTCCGTATGTCACGCAGACGGAGATGACCAAAGACTTCAAAACTTCAACGTAAGTTTTTGATCAAATGTTAGCATATGATTGGCTGTTTCTTTTAGAGTCCCAAGACTTCTTCCCGATCTGACGACCGATTATGTGATCCACCGGGGTGTCCATGCTATTTTGACAGACCAGACAGAGGTCTACATTGGAAGGTTTTGGTACCTCATTAAGATCTTTTTGGCGTAAGTGTTACATAAAATTGAAAATCGTTTTTCTACTTGTCAAAGATCGTAGAATATCTCGATGTCCGCAGCAACCGGCGAGCTACAATTTTCGAAAATTGATAGGTGGGCAGGCCTAATGGTTTGTGAAGAATATAGGTCAAATCGGGGTTGGGATACTTCTGTGACTGGCCAAGAAAACCACAGGTTTTTAAAAATTGGATAGACCTACAATTCTTGAGCGAAAAATAAATCTTTCGAGAAGCATGTCAAACTTTTGTATGTCAATTTTTTTCGGCCGCTTATCTTTTATATTTCGCCGAAAATATCTCGTCAATTTTTTTCTGTTGCACTTTTTGAAATCTTGCTTGTATGCGAAGTTCAATCACCTCACTCGAAATGATGACACAAACTTATTCGTCCAATTTCAGCTGTGTTCCATACGCATCTGCCTACCACTTCATGCGACTTATCGGCCTGGATGGCCTCTTGCTCCAGATGGTGGGAAATAAAATTCCGCAGAAACTCACCAACAACAACAATGTTGAGTGAAAAATTCAAAAATAATACCTCCAAAAATGTGTCATATTTTACTTCAGAATCAAGTAGTATTGTAAATGAACAAAAGAATAAAAAATTAAAATTTGTACATTATTTTTTGCTAAACAACAGTTTTCGAAGAAATCCGGCTCTGTTTTCTCTTGTGCCTTCGAATTATATGATGGTAATCCTCGACGTATCTGTAGCTGTACAAGACAATCATGAAAACATGATAGGATATGTAGCAGAGTAAGATAAATATAAGCTCAAAAACAATGTATACAAACAAGGGAAATGTCCTGGCCGAATCGAACACCGGTTCTCGATAAGAAGCTTGGCGTTTTGGCAGAGGTGCTACCGTCTCCGTCAACGCTATCAACGGAATCGAAAACGCAAATAGAACGGAGAAGATCAGGTGGAGGAGCTGAAAGAATGCTGTTAATGTTGTGGTGGCTTTAAATTTAGAATTGCAATTTCTTTGGCCGACAGAGCTCTATTTTTTGCAAGCCTATTTACACTGGAAACGATTGATCAAAACACTTACGATTAGATCAAAATTCCTGATAAAGGAGCTTGTGAATCTCTAAAATTTCTGATTTTTCTTTGCAACGCAGCCGTAAGCAAATGTTACAGGCAAGTCGCCAATACAAAAGATTAGGATGGAGGAGCCGTATCAAATCAGGTGTAGGAGATGTGCGCAAAATTTAGGAAAGATGGCGCTGAAGTGAGAGACCTGATCCTGTGGCAAAAACGCGCCATTTTGCATCCGGGAAACATCAAAAATGTGGCAAAATGCTTCCCTCTCCAAAAGAAAAAAACTTCGTTTTGAAGAGCGCGCCCTTTCCCGCACAAAAAGAGCGGGTGCGGTGTTGAAATCGAAGTTTTTTCACATGGAGAGGGAAGCATTTTGCCACATTTTTGATGCTTCCCGGATACTAAATGGTACGTTTTTGCCACTGGATCAGGTCCCTCACTGTGGGAATAATGAAAAAGTCAGGCCTATTTTAAAATGGGACCTATGACGCTTGAACGGAAGATCAATTATTTCGATTGTCAAATTTTTTTCATTGTCAAATTTTCGAATGCAAAACTTTTTTCGACCAGTAATCTCCAGGCATGTCCCTGGGCCAGGGACATTCGAAACCTGCCAACCCGATGAGGGCCAACTATTTTTGCGAACCGGCCCAGAGCTTTAATGTTTTAATGTTTTGACCTCTTAATTGCATTAAACTTAAAATGGCAACTTTATACCCTTCTAAATAGTAACAGTTTTTTCCTTTCCATTCTACTTTCCAGATCCTATTCTGAGATTGCCGTAGCCTTAACGGCACATGCATCCTGTCTGCCCAATTCTCAAATTACGCTCAAAAGGCCATCTCCTACTATCTCCCCGCGCGCAGCCAACTTTTCCTTGGATAAACACTTACGTTAATTACCATGAATGGCCAATAGCACCACGTTGTTTTCCGCCGATTCCCAATTAACAGAAGCCACGAGGGAAGGCCGACAAGAACGCCGAGGAACGCCAGTAAAAGATCGAACTTAATTATGCAGAACAAAGTAATCGGCAAGACGAACAACGTCCATAAGATGCAAAAGAAGAGAGCGAGGATGTAGGCGGCTTGCTGAAACGAAAACATGCCATATCGGATGTGTCTGACATGAGTTACGGCTGATGTGAGGGCGGGGGTGGGGGAGATAAAAAATCATGAAGGAAATTAAAGTAGGAGTAAATTTACTTTGAGCGTCTGGATAACTTGATAACCATAAAAAACCATTCTACAAAAAAGATATCATAATGCTCAGCAATCCCATAAATCTCATCCAAGTTACCTGATGTATCCGTCTGTCGGGAAGATAATGGTCCAACGTCGCTGCGCCAATCGCGTCGCTGAAGTGAAAAGCAGTTTGATTTTGCAGCGACACAATTCATTTTCTCGGCTGCGGTGTGATTTTGATGCGACAGGGTGCTCATTATTTTCCAGACAGACTGATAAATTACTATCTGTGGACTTAATGGGTAAGCATAAAATTCCCCCTCTTGACCTAAGGCTTTGTACATGTGCATATTTTGAACTAACTGCAAAACATTCCCGATATTACGACGTTTTCACAAAACGACTTACAATGAAGCCTCTGTACAACAAACTCATGTACAGCAGACTATTCACAACGAACAATTTCAAAAGCCCCAAAATTTAGCGTTATGCCAAAATGAACCCTTGTATAACATGCACAACACACCTACAACAAGAGAAAATATTTTTTTTGTATTGCTTTTGATATAAAATATTGACTAAACTATATTTGAAAAACAAACATTTTAAAGGATGACGCAGAAAGACATAAGCCCAAAGCTAAAGCAATCTCAAAACAGCGCCTTAAAAAAAGGTTCAAAATTTCATCCCCCTCAACTCACATGAACATGAACACTTTGCTGACAAACGGAATAAAATTCAGACATTTCGTTGGATAAATATGTAATTTAGAGTGTGCCGTGTTTTGCCGTGCCCGCAGTGTTCCAACTCTTCTCCTCCGGGCATCTAATTTCCGCCTTCGCTGGCGTTTTTTTATTTTCTAACGCCTTGAAAATAATTTAATTCGAGCCGTTCATAAAACGATGCCATCCGAAGGTCAAGCCTTGGAAATTGAATGGAGAGAAAAGACATGAGGAGATATTAGAACGGAAGACCAAAAATTAGTAATATTGGGGACTTCTAAAAATAATAAGAACATCAATATGTTTCTTGATGACTATAAACTTGATAGGTTTTTTAAAATTCATTTTTAAAGTTTTTTTTCCATCCTTCCTTTGGGCCTTTCTTTACTATAGCTTATACATATAAAGGCTTCATCGAATTCGGGGGTTTTTTCTTACCAAAATTGCCGGAAAATGGAGGGCCTAAAGGAGAAAGCAATAAAAAATAACAGACAATGGCACTAACCTCCACACACATTCACCTTCGACCCCACAATGTCCATGCTGTTTGTCGGGGAGGGAAAGTTTGTTCGTAATTGTCATAGCAGTTCGTCTGGACGTGTTCAGCAATTGGCAATAGTTCCAAGAAACTATTGTTTTGAGCGACTTATGATTAACAAGAAAATGGCGTAAAATTGAGCGCATAAAGTGTCTTAAAATTTTGGATATTTGCTGTAAATTGCTGTAAACGTATTGTTTATCAATGCTTGAAAGTTTTATAAGTCTGTCGGAAAAATAATGAGCACTCTGTCACATCGAAAATCGCATAGAAAATAAATCGTTTCGCGGCAAAATCAAACTGCTTTTCACTTCAGCAACGCAATTGGCGGAGCAAATTGAGCTCATTATTTTCCCGACAGACTGATAACTTGCGCTTTGCAAAGGGAGCCGAAATACTCAACGGCCCTTATCGACAAGAAAGTACCTTTTTTTGTCCGCCATATGTCATCCAAATTCGCTCACAAAAACCCGAAATTTTTCTTTTTCTGCGGAAAATTCGCCAATCTTCAAAGAAATTGTTTTGAGTCCAGCTGCACTTATCTCCCGTGCTCTTGTCAAAATCCGTTCGGAACTCCAAATTGTGCCAAAATATTTCCGTGTTTTCACGTAATCTCCTCTGCTAGCTCGCATTTTTTCCGGCGTTTATAAACCACCCATATTTTCCTCCAAAAAATTGGTTGTTTGTTTGAAGCTCGTGGGGTAATATTTTTTGATCTTTTCCGGATGTTTTTGTTCCTCAAATCTTCCGCATTTCCAAACCCATAATTTGTTTACGTGGCCATTTTGGGGCCATAGAATAAATGCCGGAGATTTTCCGCAGGTCCGTTAGACCACATTTTTTGGGGTTGTCTGAGTGTGTCAAAAATATTTGCTATTACTGTATTTGAATACTCGCTTTTTTCTTCTTGAATATTTCTAAAAATGGACGTAAAAAGGAAGCCAAAAAAGAAAGAAAATTCAGAGAAAAAGAAGAGCAATATCGACCGGTCGTTTAACGATAGTCCAGTGTTTGCGATCCACATGTCACGACTGAAGCACGCGGATGACATTTTGAACGTCAATGTGGGTGGAAAAAGATATACGGTGAGTTAAAATTGCTATTTACAGAGATCGGCAAAACTTTCTTTCGAATTTTAATGAAAAAATTGACTTTTATTTATTTAAAACGCGTTTTATTACAAATCGTAGATTGGCCCGGACATTGTTGAGTCGATGTCTCAGAATTAAACCAAAATTGGTCAACTTGATCGTCATGACAGACAAAACATTCGCTTTCTTTATTTTTGCCCAAAATTACCGTATGACGGCATACTGTAACATTCTTTCTTAAAAAAGATGTGCCCTAATCGAGAAAACGAAGCGTTATTTTAGCACAAATCGAGCTCAGTCGTACGTTTTCGACCATGTAGAACATTTTTGTAATTGTCACCAAAAACTAAAAATTACATCTAAGCTATGTTACACATGAGGTAACATACTATTTCGGGTGTAAAATGGGCTACTGTAGCTTGTAGCACTTTTAGATACGCTTAAAAAAAACTTCAACCTTAACCCAATAAACAGTAGAAATTTTAAAAAAATAAAATGCACAACTTTTGAGATACAGGGATTTCAATCTGTCATGTACAAGGTCATCAGAACCCCGAAAAAAGCTGGCATTCTTGGGATTTCGGGTTGTAGCACTTTTTGATAGCCTCTAATACATTATTAGCCTTGTAAACGATGATGGTGAAAATTTCAGGCGAAAAAATGCACAACTTTCGAGAAAATGACCAAAATACCTTATTTTAGGTCATCAGAACCCCGAAAAAAGCTGGCATTCTTGGGATTTCGGGTTGTAGCACTTTTTGATAGCTTCTAATACATTATTAGCCTTGTAAACGATGATGGTGAAAATTTCAGGCGAAAAAAATGCACAACTTTCGAGAAAATGATCAAAAGACCTTATTTTAGGTCATCAGAACCCCGAAAAAAGCTGGCATTCTTGGGATTTCGGGTTGTAGCACTTTTTGATAGCCTCTAATACATTATTAGCCTTGTAAACGATGATGGTGAAAATTTCAGGCGAAAAAAATGCACAACTTTCGAGAAAATGATCAAAATACCTTATTTTAGGTCATCAGAACCCCGAAAAAAGCTGGCATTCTTGGGATTTCGGGTTGTAGCACTTTTTGATAGCTTCTAATACATTACTAGCCTTGCAAACGATGATGGTGAAAATTTCAGGCGAAAAAAATGCACAACTTTCGAGAAAATGACCAAAATACCTTATTTTAGGTCATCAGAACCCCGAAAAAAGCTGGCATTCTTGGGATTTCGGGTTGTAGCACTTTTTGATAGCCTCTAATACATTATTAGCCTTGTAAACGATGATGATGAAAATTTCAGGCGAAAAAAATGCACAACTTTCGAGAAAATGATCAAAAGACCTTATTTTAGGTCATCAGCATGTTTCGTCCGGGCAATGAAACATCGACTTTACATTCGTTGACTTAACATTCGGATTCTCCCCGGGTCCAATGTCGAAGACGAAGAATAAAATTTTTTAGTCTATGTTTTGACAATATCATAAATTTTCGTCACTTTTTTCGGGTGACCTAAAATAAGGTATTTTGGTCATTTTCTCGAAAGTTGTGCATTTTTTTCGCCTGAAATTTTCACCATCATCGTTTGCAAGGCTAATAATGTATTAGAAGCTATCAAAAAGTGCTACAACCCGAAATCCCAAGAATGCCAGCTTTTTTCGGGGTTCTGATGACCTAAAATAAGGTATTTTGGTCATTTTCTCGAAAGTTGTGCATTTTTTTCGCCTGAAATTTTCATCATCATCGTTTACAAGGCTAATAATGTATTAGAAGCTATCAAAAAGTGCTACAACCCGAAATCCCAAGAATGCCAGCTTTTTTCGGGGTTCTGATGACCTAAAATAAGGTATTTTGGTCATTTTCTCGAAAGTTGTGCATTTTTTTCGCCTGAAATTTTCATCATCATCGTTTACAAGGCTAATAATGTATTAGAAGCTATCAAAAAGTGCTACAACCCGAAATCCCAAGAATGCCAGCTTTTTTCGGGGTTCTGATGACCTAAAATAAGGTATTTTGGTCATTTTCTCGAAAGTTGTGCATTTTTTTCGCCTGAAATTTTCACCATCATCGTTTACAAGGCTAATAATGTATTAGAAGCTATCAAAAAGTGCTACAACCCGAAATCCCAAGAATGCCAGCTTTTTTCGGGGTTCTGATGACCTAAAATAAGGTATTTTGGTCATTTTCTCGAAAGTTGTGCATTTTTTTCGCCTGAAATTTTCACCATCATCGTTTGCAAGGCTAATAATGTATTAGAAGCTATCAAAAAGTGCTACAACCCGAAATCCCAAGAATGCCAGCTTTTTTCGGGGTTCTGATGACCTAAAATAAGGTATTTTGATCATTTTCTCGAAAGTTGTGCATTTTTTTCGCCTGAAATTTTCACCATCATCGTTTACAAGGCTAATAATGTATTAGAGGCTATCAAAAAGTGCTACAACCCGAAATCCCAAGAATGCCAGCTTTTTTCGGGGTTCTGATGACCTAAAATAAGGTCTTTTGATCATTTTCTCGAAAGTTGTGCATTTTTTTTGCCTGAAATTTTCACCATCATCGTTTACAAGGCTAATAATGTATTAGAGGCTATCAAAAAGTGCTACAACCTGAAATCCCAAGAATGCCAGCTTTTTTCGGGGTTCTGATGACCTTGTACATGACAGATTGAAATCCCTGTATCTCAAAAGTTGTGCATTTTATTTTTTTAAAATTTCTACTGTTTATTGGGTTAAGGTTGAAGTTTTTTTAAGCGTATCTAAAAGTGCTACAAGCTACAGTAGCCCATTTTACACCCGAAATAGTATGTTACCTCATGTGTAACATAGCTTAGATGTAATTTTTAGTTTTTGGTGACAATTACAAAAATGTTCTACATGGTCGAAAACGTACGACTGAGCTCGATTTGAGCTAAAATAACGCTTCGTTTTCTCGATTAGGGCATATCTTTTTTAAGAAAGAATGTTACAGTATGCCGTCATACGGTAATTTTGGGCAAAAATAAAGAAAGCGAATGTTTTGTCTGTCATGACGATCAAGTTGACCAATTTTGGTTTAATTCTGAGACATCGATTTTAACAATGTCCGCCCCCTGTTAGGCTAAGCTCCAAAGTGTGGCAAAACGCGTTTTAATTGCAATATGTTTCCAGGTCCGCCGTTCCGACCTGATGGCCGATCCTCGAAGCAAATTGGCCGACTGGTTTCGTCCAAATAATAATCGACCAGTTCCAACCGACAAGGGTGGCAATATTTATCTGGACCGCGACGCAAAGACTTTCCGCCATATTTTGGCTTATTTGAGGTTGAAAAAGGACAGAATTGCACCTACTCTGGCATTACCGTCAAAGCCGGATGATTTGGCAAAGTAAGGAAGTTAACACATCATATTAAATCGCCACGTATTTTAAAATCAACGGGTATTTTGTTCATCAAAACTCACCAAAACAATTGAACTTTTGTTTTCCTTCAATTTCACCCGCTAAAACTCAAAAATGTCGAACAACACCTGAAAGGCCGGTGCACTGAACCTGCACAAACCCTTGTTTCGCTGCTCCTTATACTTTCGCTTCGGCGTAATCAATCGAAGCAGCATTGAAAACGGCTGCAACGAGGCTTAGTCCGAGCAAAGAATCGAACTCGATGGTTTTCGCGCGGGAAGTGAACGCACTACCACTAAACTAAAATGACACAGGCAAAACAATCTTTGAAATGAGTCGGAAAGGAAAGAAAAATAAAGCACAACATTGCTAATGTAAAATACGATGTTCTTCATGTTCTTCAAGGAAAAAATACGATAAAATTTTATAATTTTTAAAATCAAGGTTATTTTTTGATATTTTCACTCAATTTTCAGACTTGTTGCCGAATGCGAAGCCTTGAATCTGGCTGAATTAAAAGATGAGGCTTTGAAGATCCTCCATAATTACGAAAGAAATGAGGAACAGCATTATGTCGTGACGTATGTACAAGGCGCTGTCCGCGACTACGAAACTTGGTCGTTTGAAGCCGAAAATGGCGTCAATAGCGTGAGTTTTTTATTTTATTTATGACGCAGAGTGAGCCAAGTGCATTTTTTTCAACGCATAGGATATATGCTTTATAATTTTAAAAATTATAAGCGATTTCATTGGAGTCATAACCAAGATATTGAACAATATTTTTAGATGAGAGAAAGAGAGGGTAGGTAAAACAAGGAGAGAAAGAATAGTCGCATTTTGGCCGTGCTTGAAAATGCAAAAAAAAATATTTTTTAAAAACAGCTGAAAAAAAATTTTTTAATTTTTCGACAAGCTTGTATTCAAAGTTGGGTACTTCATTTATAAACCAATATTTTTTAAAAGACGATTTCTGAGTCAGTGCGTCAGCCGTGGACATAGGAAAAAATCGATTTTGAGTTTTTTTCATTAAAATGACTGTTGGAAGGTGCTAAGCAAAAGCGAACAATATTTTTCCCCAAAACCTTCTTCAAGGTATATTTTTTTACAATTTACTGTTTTAGAAGTAATCGCCTCCAGCTGTCGTATCTTACCTTACTGTGCGATGATTTGATGGTTACTGAAGTTTTTGACCCTTGCGGTGACGACGGAATGATTATTTTTCCGATTTTCCTACTGTAACATACTGTAATACCGTATCGGCCGCTAAAAAATGGCCGTAAAATCTTTGTTTCTGAAAACCCACAGCTGATTTTTTGATATGTTAATCAGCGTAAAATTCTGCTCTAGACGCAATCAAAAAAAGTTCAAAAAAGTGAATGACAAATTTCGTGGTATAGTGGTTAGTGGTCGGGACTACCAATCCAGCCTCCCAGGTTCGATTCCGGGTGGGTGCAAATCGCGAAAAAATACTAGAAATCGACTTTAATATAACAATCAAAGCTGTTTGAGTGATACTAAGTGATTTTGGACAATAACGGCACCTGTACGTGAGCCCAAAACGGACTTTTTAAAATTTTTGGGGCTTAATACGTGAAAAATAAAACGGCTTCAAACCGGCTGAAATTGATACCACTTACTCTATGGCTAATTATAAGATACTTTTCCGTTAACTTTTTTTGGGATCTTACTGTATCGTGGATTACTGTAACATGAAACACGTTTCCATTTTTTTGTATACCACATAGCGCAAAGAGCTCGTATCCCCACCATTACGTTTAAAATGATTAAGAAAGGCTTGGTTTGCGTAGAAATATTTTTTATATGGTGGTACGACTTGAAACACCTGAGTAATCTCACGCAGTTTCACCAGTTGTTGATAACGTCAACACACATTGGAGACGGAGGGAAATTTTAATTTATACATCAAGAGTGGATCTTTGTTTTCTTATTAAAATTTCTAACTAAAAAACTAAAAATTTTGTGCGAGAATTCTGAAGTAAACCGCGGTTGAGGAGAATAAGTTTTATGTTACAGTAATACACGATACAGTAAGATCCCAAAAAAAGTTAACGGGAAAGTGTCTTATAATTAGCCCTAGAGTAAGTGGTATCAATTTCAGCCGGTTTGAAGCCGTTTTATTTTTCACGTATTAAGCCCCAAAAATTTTAAAAAGTCCGTTTTAGGCTCACATACAGGTGCCGTTATTGTCCAAAATCACTTAGTATCACTCAAATAGCTTTGATTGTTCCATTAAAGTCGATTTCTAGTATTTTTTCGCGATTTGCACCCACCCGGAATCGAACCTGGGAGGCTGGATTGGTAGTCCCGACCACTAACCACTATACCACGAAATTTGTCATTCACTTTTTTGAACTTTTTTTGATTGCGTCTAGAGCAGAATTTTACGCTGATTAACATATCAAAAAATCAGCTGTGGGTTTTCAGAAACAAAGATTTTACGGCCGTTTTTTAGCGGCCGATACGGTATTACGGTATGTTACAGTAGTAAGAGATCAAAAATAATTCTTCAAGCGTCTTCGCAAGGGTCGAAAACGTTGTAGGCCGCAAAATTATTGCATTTCAAGGTAAGATACGACAGTTGTAGCCAATTACTTCAAAAACAGTAAATAGTAAAAAATGGTACCTTGTTGAAAGTTTTAGGAAAAAATATTGTTCGCTTTTGTTTAGCACCTACCAACAGTCATTTTGATGCAAAAAACTCAAATTCGATTTTTTCCTATGTCCACGCCTAACTGGCGGCTGATTCACTGACTCAGAAATCGTCTTTTAACAATATCCATATTTTACGCACGATTTTTAGGAAGCTGTGAAACGAATCCGCGAGACCTCCGTCCCAGAAACCATCGATCTGCATAATAGCGCCTACGAAGAGTGGGATAATCTGTGAATCCTCCGCTTACAATTTGTACATAGCCTCTATTTTCTCAATAAAATTTAGTCATCAAAAATTTGCATAAATAATTGCGGTTCGAATTCCAAATACCCGTGCAATAGGAGTGCGCGAACATGGGAATGAAGGACTGTTTGGGGACAGTTGTCAAGGAAACCCTTGAAACCCCTTATTCCTCCGTCTCTAAGACGGAATCGCAATAACACAACAAGAAGGCAAACTTCCCATAAGTGCGCATGTGACAAGTTCGTCGCGTATTTTACATTCCTGGAAGTTGGACAAAGTTCTTGAGATACTTTTATGGGTTTCTGGTATAAATTTCCCTTTTCTCGTCAAAATCTTTGTTAGTCATGCCTCTTTATGAAGGGACGTGAATTGTACGGCTTCGCTGAGTAAACTCATTTGTTATACGGCCGGATTTATCATTTGCTTCGCTTGTTTGGCAGCAACAGGAGGACACTTTTTTGTCAAGTTTCTTATTGTAGTATTGTTTTGGGTCTTGAAGGATGATTGTAAAAGTATTGTTCATTTTAAGCCGACAAATTATTTTTCCTACTATGGAATGAAGTGACACAAGTGATAGGTCAATTCCGTTTCTGCATCGGAGAACTGAAGTTAACATAAGTATCTAAAAACGTTTCATACGTACTTTTTCAAAAACTAGCCAGGAATATCGCACTCAGCGGCGCACGGCTGCTAGACGTATTGCCTGGCTCCTTTAGACGATAAGTCAGCTTGATACCGATTGAAATAGAACGAAATGTCACAAAAGAACCCTTTGTGGCAGTTCTTCGGTGGAAAATTTTTTCTCTCGTAATTATTTTGATTTATTTTGTAAATTGTGGCACTTTCGGACGAGGGTCAAAATAGGCCAACACGTTTTTTTTCTCTTTTGAGATGCTGTGCTGCGTGTCTTTTTCCATAACAGCTTGTGTACAGAGCGATGCCTACGTGCTACATGAGGCCGAGAGAAGCTCCGTACAAGATTTTTAGCACTTCTTACAATTCAATAAATTTGACGAACACTTAGTAAGGGTTTTGCGTTTTTCTAAATTTTTGGTCACCTTGGACTTTTAAAAATCCTTTGATACTGTTTCGATTTACGTGTTGCATTGCTCCGTACTCACTTTCACCAAATACTGAAGCAATTCATTCACTGAGGACAAATTGCCAGCGCAAATTGTGGGCATACATTTAGTCCAGAAGTGCAGTCCTAAACATTATTTTCTACCCACTTTCCCATCTACAATTCCATTGTATAAAGCCCCTTTTCGTCTGCCACTTTTTTCCCCAACACCTGACCAGTCTTGCAACCTCCAAATTTTTATTCCCCGCCTCTGAATTTCCAGCAAATCACCGCCTAATTTAATAGTAATGAACTGGTCAGTTTCCCATACTAAATGACCACTTCTTTCCAAAATTAGTAATTTTTATACAAACTTTTATCGAAAAACGCTATTTTTGGCCCCGAAAAAAACAATGGCCAGGTTTTCAAGGGCTTTCGGCAAGGGTGGGGTTAGCACGGGCCGGCGCGGTCACCTGGACAATGTCCACTCAGACGGCCAGTTTCGCGGCCGCCAAAGCACGTAGTTTTTGCGAGGGTGGTTAATCAAGTATTAAATTGTACGGAAAACGTTTGGGGGCAGATCTCCGCAGGCTTTGCGGAGGATTACAAGCGTGAGGATACGGTGAAGAAATGGCATTTTTTGGGGAAATAAGAAGAGAGAATATGGTTTTTGGCGTAGAAATTTAAGCTTGTCATTTTGATTTTTGCTGCTAGAAAATTTGCTACGCTATATTAAATTTATGAATGAAGCTGTGCTTGTTTTTGTCATGGCCAAACAAGGTTTCAAAGGGGGCTTACAGGATCTCTTTTTGGAAAAGCAGGGTACAAGTAGCTGCAGGGAAAGAGAAAATACAATATTGGCTTCTTATAATGCCGAAAGGTCTCACTTGTTTTTAAAGTTTTTTGCAAAGTGGACTGCTTCTCTAAGGTTCTTAGAAGGCTTAAAGACACAGTGCAGGTCTAGCGGAATTTGGTGTAAATTGCAGCTTAATATAGTGGAATGATGGGTTTGCCGGTATCTTAGGGACTTAAATTAATCACAACGAATAGATACATATTTCGGACGTGTTGGAAGTTCAAACTTTTCTTAAATGACCGCATTTCTAGCCCAAAATGTCATCTTCGCCTCCACCGATTCTCTATGTCGATTATGGCGATACAATTGCCGATGTGGCTATGCGAGAAGCAACATCGACCAGTCTAACAACGACCACCTCCATATTGCTGACGGTCCTTTTATTGTTGACATTCTTCTCCAATTTATTTCTTGTCGCAACCATTACTGCAAGGTGAGATACAATTTTTGGCACAGCCAAAGCCACACTGCGTATTTTACAAGTTCATTTCAGTTGCAAACTACGTGCCAATTTACTTTACCTCATCTTTATTCAACTGGGTATTCTTAATCTTATTGAGTCAATCTTTGTGATGTTCGTATCCCTGTTGTATGTTGCCAACAATAATTGGGTATTTGGGGATGTGGTTTGTCGAATTAATGCCACGGCTCAGGATGTAAGTGAAAATTTTAAAAATTTTTGGCGGTGTAGAGAGGCGTTTTGAAACTTTTGTTACGACCATTACAATATTTTTTTTCACATTTTCAGTTCGTATTCCTCCAATCATTCTTCACCATCATGCTTATGGCTGTAGAGCGAGCCCTTGGCCTCACGACCAGTGGTCGCCTACTTCTCACCAGAAGATATGCCATCTGCCTCTCCTTACTGTTCACTGCCATCTCCTTTTGTTTTGCATCTCCGGCTCTCTTTAAAGGCTTTAATGTCCAGCCGTTTCCCTATCGATACATATGTGCGATCGGATCGAATGCGCCACTGCCCTATGCGATCGTTCAGATGATTGTTTATGGCGGAGGAATCTTCGTGATAACTATGTGTTTCTGCGCGATTATGAGGTACAAGAGGTTCACGACGGATAGCAGGACATTGCCGGCGAAGCCTCAGGTAAATTGAGACTTCTTGTTTGTAAAAAAATCATTCTCAGGACTACGGTGCGTTTATCATGGAGTCCCGAGCATTGGAAGACTACATGACAATGACCCGACTGATCATCTTCATCTTTATTGCATATATTCTCCTTCAAGGACCGTATCTCGTTCTCAATTTCTTTGTTCAAATTCGCAACAGTGAACAACTACTGGCCGCGAATGCCAATGTAATAGAAGTCTCGCAAGATCTCGACACTCTTCTAACTTTCCTCATGATGTTTTACCCGTTCACTGTGACTGTCTTGATCTTCTGTTTCTGTCGTGATATCTGGCTAAAGATGGTGAATCTCCTGTTTTGCCGTCGATCAACCGGAGTTCCTTACGGCAGTTGGATGAGAGAAGGGAAAGGCAGCAATTGCTGTAAGTTTCTTGGCTTAAATTAGGGTATCATTCGAAGTATAAAATACTGTACATGTATATCTGTTTAAGTGGAAGACTCTACATCTTCGGATAGAGTTCTAACTCTGGTCGCGACCACCGAAGGTCTGCAGATCAGAGACCCCAACGGGCAGTATCGCCCACCTCCGATACAACCCCTATACTCGGATCCAGTGGCCCGAGAGTCAACTCCGAATGTCGACTTCTGCTTGCCAAACCAAGGTAAGTCGAAGATGATTTGCTGAGATCATAACAATAAAAATAATTTTTTTTCATTGTTGTGGCCATATACCAAATTTTTCAAATTTTACATTAATAACTTACATACACTACCTATCGATCACTTGAAGTCTGTGATACTCGAATATTTTGTGTAGGATAATAAGTAATATGGGCACACAGACAATGGTCTTCCAGGTTTGCTGGATACGCTTTGATCTCCCATTTAAAAGAAACCAAACAAACCTGAATGTTTATCGTCAGAACAACGCATGCCGTTTTTAAAATTTTTTGCAAAGCTTTGCCAAATTTAACCAATTCCACAAAAGGGTCTCCGCAAAAAATCGCTACAGTTATTTCATGTTTTCGCGGCTTAAAATCTCCCATTTTTTTCAGTTTCCGACGACAACAACTCCGTCAAGACCCATAATCTATCCAATCCTCGGATATTGAAGAATCCTCGAAGAAATATCCAGATCAGTCAGACAAGGACCATTATTCCAAATGAGTTCAAAATAAAGTTGGATTCTACCAGTGGATCCGATATATCCAACAAAGCCAGCAAAATCCCGTTGTCAAATCGGCAAAAGTTGCAACGACGGAAGAGGAAGCCCAGAGTTGGAGGTACCGTGGGAAAAAAGGCAAATGTTGCAACGAATGTAGCGAAAAAGAAGAATTCAAAATAAAACTTGCTCTAATATATAATATTACAAATAAATTTATACAAAGCTCGAAGCTGTACTCAATTTAAATTGATGACTAAAACAAATATTAATGTATCAATATAGTACTGTAAACGATGACCTCATTTGCTGCCGGAATCTTGTCTTCGTAGTAAATAGATGGAAGTTTTTAGCTGCTTATACGGCGGCATGTTCGACTTCGTTTGAGTGACAAGACCACCAAATTATGTGTTCCTCCAAGTTCAAATTTAACTGCATCTCAACGCGCGGAAGCATTTTTTAAGTGTGCTTTGCTTTCAAATACGGAAACCCTTTTTTTAAAACTTGTGATTTATGTTTGGTGTACACACCCATTACAAGAAATAGCAACAGCCATTGTCAAGTTGTTTTTCAAGGACTTATTTTATTACCAGGAAAAGTCTCATAAATTCTATTTCGGGTAATTAGATTTTCACTGCCTAATTGCACACGAGAAGACTTTTCCAAGTATTTCAAAAAATGTTTTGACCTTCCGAATGGACCCAGACAGCATTGTTTGGATGTATTTATATTATTCCATTGACCGCTCAATCGGCTATGGCCGTGAATTTTTTGGGAAGCCTACAGCTTTTTTAAGAAAGCGTTGAGCCACCTATATGCATGTGAAATGCTGAAAATTTTAATGATATAGTCACCCTGATTAACATGGAAAGTATCCAAAGTGTAAAGCATAGATTTTTGTCCTGGAAGTTTTAACTCGCGCCGAAATCACTCCAGCGACTTTACGAACGGCTAGTATGACAGGTAGATTTATATGGAAAAAATAGACCGTAAATCCACCGAGTTCCGGGAACTTGAACGCGCATTTCTTATGCATTACAATTTCGCTTCTTAAAAAAGAAAACTTAAACGACCCGGTTTCTTTAATGTAAACCCTCCGGGAAAAGGAAATTGAATTGCCGAAGTAATCGCTACCTTTACGTTTGACAACATATGTTTCTGTCACTCTTTTGGTGTCTACAGCATTCGACGGATAGCCTTGGATTTTGTGCTCTACTATGATACATATACAAAAGCTATATTATTACAGACAAGAACCTGTCAATTGTACATTTAAAAATTCGTGTTATGAGCAGACATGTACGTATGCTGTGACACTTTTTTTTGTAGAACAATGAGGCTTTTGATGGTGTTTTTAAAATGTCTCTCGGATTCATAGAAGATTAATCGGGTTTGCTATAAAGTTTAAAAGTATGTCCGGGACTAATCCAGATGCAAATGGCGGGCTGTTTACGTTCGGTTTGACATTTCTTGTACCACCAATTTTTCGGTGGAGATTTTTATAAACTTTGATCTTCTTTTGAATGAATATATTTTTTGGCAGCCCTGTGCTCCTCATTTCGCATGCTCTCTCGTAAAAATGACGTTGTGCAAGGTATAGTCAAGCTTGTTGAACGAGATTTTTGAAAATACGTTAATAATATGTGGCTGGTTCAGCTCACAAAAAAAATCGCCGAAAATTAAAGTGCCCGCTTGCTTACGGCATGCTGCAAAATTTGAATTGCGATTTTCGCGATATATCGTTCGCTATAAATATTTTACCATTCCCCAACCACAAGTATGACTCGGTTTGTTTTGTGTTTTGAACTGTTTTGGCCCATTTTAAACCCGGAATATTTGATTAGTTTATGCTGTCCTCTCTAAAAATGGTGTTGGGGTCGAGAAAAAGTGTCATATATCTTTTTTTCCGCGATGAAGTGCGAGTCAACAATTCTGTTGAATATTCGATACAACATTCTGAACTGGACTTCAAGCCGGACATTTATTTCAAACAAAATTTCTGTATTCGTATTTCAACGAAAGAGATTTTGGTTTTGAAATTTGCGAGTCATCATTTTCCATTGGGATTTATAATTGAAATGGGGGCCAGAATAACATTAAAATTTCCGAATTTTGAAAAAAAAATTAAAATTCTTGTAATACAAACCGCCTTCCAAAGCTCGTTCCCTGACCTCATTACCTACCCCAGACCCCGGCAAAGACTTGTTTTGGTCGTAACAGAGGTCAACAAAAATATTCCTTTCATAAGGCCCGCTCCAGCCATCAGAAGTTACACTGCTTCGAGTTCCCCCAGGATTTTATAAATAATTTAATTTTATTTCGCCGTATTTCGCAAGAGCGCTGTTCGTTCTATATTATAACATCTGAGGGCCCTAGCACGACACGTGCACTTTCGAATGTGATTACAACGAGATTTGTGATTTTGAGGGGTGAAAGACGATTATAGGTATATAATCGTGTAGTGTTAGAGGTCATGTCATCCATTTTTCTGATTTCATTCTTCGAATGTGTTGTGCAAACAGAACGTATGGTTTGGTATGGGCAAAATAGGAAACGAAACAATATTTCCGGTGATTGGAATGGGTAAATAGTGGGGGAGTTGGGCAAAAAAAGAAAAAACGTTGTGAGGGTGCTTTTTACGTATCAGCCGGTCGGGAAAATAATGTGTTTTATATCCTGAAGCCTTTCGCCTGTTACGGCTAGCCGTTGCAAATCGATGATTGGAGGATTGCAAAGAACGATGAATCCACATTATTTTCCCGACAGACTGATGCAGGGAAACTAGTGGTTCAACGCAAATTAATGGTTTCTGGGGTATGAGACGAATTTTAAGCCTGCGCTTTTCAAGAAATACCAAGATTTTTTGGTCAAAAGATAAAAAAAATCGACTTTGTTTCTGTAGTAAAGTTTTTTTGGACTCGATGCAATGCAGACAAGTCGTGTTTACTAGCACGCTTATCAATTCGTAAAAACTTTTTCTCACCCGGCAGCTAGGATAATATTCAACGATTTTTGTTGTTCAGGAAGCGAAAAGCGGAGATTCGCCACAAAGAAAAAATTGCTTTGCTATATCTCTGCCATCTTCCGGCAGAGAAAGCAGCTTCTTATTTTCGATGGAAATAAAGAAAAAAAAATTTTAGAGGCAAAAAAGCGTTGCATTCTGGCCAAATTTAGTAACAAGAATCTCTCCTTTCCGCGCGAATTTCACATGTCTTAAAAGTAGTCAGAAAAAATCAATCCAAAATTTTGCAAGTTCTCAGTAAAATCTTATTAAAAGAGTACTTCGAACAGTTCCCTTGAACGTTCAAGTGACTTAATTTTGGCCCTTTGGCTATAAAACCTTTTGCTTTTTGACGCTCCACTTTTCCAGCTACAATTCGTCTTATAAACAGGCCCATTAGCATACATTTTACATAATCCTCTTCCCTATTGTTTGCAAGTTCGAATTACTCTTGAAATTCGTAGAACTGCTTTCCATTTACACCTTCTTGTTCGTCAATGCCCTCATCTTTTGCATTTTTTTTCGACCGTTGACCTTCTTCCCTGTGTCAGTGTTTGATGCATCCGTGAAATTAAATTATTATTTTCCGGCATGATTCCCACTGTCCCAAACAGGGCATTAGGAATGCATATGGCATAAGTTTACCACGGGTTTTTTGTCTATAAAGTATTTGGTTGGGTTCACTTTTGAGCGCAGTTTCCGGGAAGTTATGGGATGTATAAAATAATCAGTTGTTTTTTGATGAAAAAAGGAGCTGAAATTTCCAAAAAAAGATGTAGTGCCCAGGCTTTTCATTTATTACAAATTTTAGTCAGCTTGCCGAAGCATTTTCTTTTGTTTTTCAACGAACTTTTCAGACGATCGAAGAGGCGTACCGCGGATTGCGAGAAGCTAGGATTTTTTTGCAGTGTATATTCGCAATTTCCATTAGTAAAAGTTTGGTTTTTATATTTAAAAATGTTGATTAAAGGGCCAGCCTAGTTTTAAATGGCGCTTTTAACGGCGTGGGAAACGGAATTTCCAAAAAAGTTTCCTCGTCTAGAGCATCAATGACGACGTAAAAAATAGTAGTGACAGTCTACGTGCTTACAAATAATGATAATTATTTCTTTACTCTTTGTAATTTTGCCGACTTTGTTTTCGTGGCAGGACATAAAAACAATTTTTGACGTCTCATTTTCTACGCCATAAAAGCCATGATTTACATGTAGCTATACCAGTCTTTTAAGGCATACGGGACAGTGTTTCAATTTGCCAATTTTTTAGAGGAAATAGTTTTTGATTTTTTGCCAAATTTCGGTCAAAGAAAAAGCATTTGAAACGCGCAAGCCTACGATTAGGAGGAACATTTTGTTCAAGTTTGTGCCAAGTTTTATGACATTTTGAACTTTTCTTTTTTGTTAATGTAAGACCTTTGAGATCATCCTCAACAATTTCTTATTAAATATTTTCTTTATTTCTCACTCTTAAAGAAACTTTATACATATACAGCAGTATACTGTTCCATTTTTCAATTACTCCTATTACCAACTCCATTTACCCCATTCAACCTTTCCCTGACCGAAAAGTCGAAGAATTATTTTGAGGCTTTATTTAATTTCAATGTAATTTAATGATTTTGTGGTATACTGACGTCAAATAAACACTTTCGGGCCCCATTTTTCGGGGGTTTTGAAAATTGCACGCTTCTTGTTTCTCTTTTAGCAAAAACGGACTTTTGAGCGGTTTTGTTTTCACAATTCAAACAGGAGCGGCTTTGGTATTGCGCAATCTTATCTTTGTTTCTTAAATATTGCGTGAATTATGCAAATAATTTTGGTTATTATGCAAAAATATGCAAATTTTTTGTTTGATTAAATAATTTTTTCAATCAAAAAATTTCGATTTCAGAGCTCCGAAAATTCTTTGGACCGAATGCGCTGGTAGAAAATCCGCTCGGCTGAATAAAGAAGCCAGGGAATTAAGGTTTCTTTATGGCCTAATGATGTCCAAACATCATTGGAATTGATGGTATTGAAGCAGAAACGCGAGATGGATCCCCCCAGACGGAAGAGTGCCATTGTTTTGCCGGACTCGGACAGCGACGATGGTGATGACTACTTCGACGCCGACACCGGGCTCTTCCTCGACTTTGACTTTATGGTAGGTGGCTTGGAATGAGCGGGGCGGTGGGTTAAGGGATTATACACTGTATGCTCAACATCTATGGTATAGTGCGGGCTTTGAAGCCGGCTTTTGAGGAAAGACTGGGTTTATGTAGTCCAGATTAGTAAAGGAAACTTGAGGGTCATGTGCTGAGGTTCTGACGAACATTGGCACAAATTTAAAACTCAATTTCCCAACGGTAATTTTTGGTTGACAATTCTTAAATTACTTTTTCACACTTCCTCGATGGCCAAAGGTCTTGTAATATAAAACAACGCGTATATAAGCAATCTCTACGCCGTAAGAATGGGTAAAACCAAGCGTAGCCGTCGCCAAATAGCCATTCTGCGCAACCATCCCTATCTCAGGCATCCGTCGTAATTTTTCTTCAAAAAATTAGCCAGCAAACATCAATATACCATGAAATCCCCTCGTCCCAAAGAGAATCCCATCTATCCTCCCACACAACCGTCCCACATAAATTTTACTGTGCCTTCCCCCCTTTTTGGTGCCATAAATAACGTCCTTATCGTTCAGGCCGTTCGATTTTGTTTTCGGACGAAATTAGTATTAAATGAATTAAAGTGCAAAATCTCCTGCTGCCACAGACGTTTTCTCATCTCAGAATATTGGTTTAGAAATTCAAAATTCTCGAGGAAGCCCGCCGGCTTCCAGATTTACGATATATTTTCGTGTGGTGTCTGCCGGACTCAAGATGCGGCGGAGAAGGAGTTCGAATGTGAGTTTCGTAATTTGCAGCTAGCTAGGACGTTTTGTGGAAAATTTTGAGGTCATCGATAATTTTGAAAAATAGAACCTAAAATTTTAGTTTTCTTACAACATCTTTGGATGTTTTTTTTTCCTGGCTAGCCCGGACGAAACCTTGCTCTCTGTTTAGAAAATAACATCTCAATTTTTTCTTGATTTTTTGAGGCAAATTTCGTCATCCAAAAATTCATCCGACGTTAATTTTGACGCCTACAATTCTTTGACCAAGTGCGTGGACAAACTGCCTAACAATAAACGGGTTGGGAAATGCTCTTGATTGACGTGCAGGATTCCACGTGCGACGCTTTGATTTTTATGAAACCTGGGACGAGTTCAGATTAGACATGGCTGGGGGGCCGGGCCGAAAATCGCGGCCCGGCCCGGGGGCCGGAAGAGGTCGGCCCGGCCCCGGCCCCCTTCAAATTTTCTCGGCCCGGCCCGGCCCGGCCCGGCCCCCGGGGGGCCGGACCGGGCCGGGGGCCTACCGGGGGCCGAACTGTAAATATAAATACTGCATTCATTCCGAGATGTAACACATTTTTTGGGGCTTTGGTAGTTCAGCCCCTCACGAAAGGTAGTTCAAACTCCCACTGTTTTGTCCATTTCACACCTCCATAATGAAAAAATTCGAATAATACAAAAAATGGAAATTAGAGTAAAATGACTCCCGGCGTTTTAGCTCAAACCCCCAGTTACAGTCCAAATTCGTTCTTTTGGTTCAGGCTGATCGTAGCCGAGAGAACCCAATCCCAAGTAGGCGCTTCAGATTGGACGAGGGGGTTTATACTGGGTCATGAGAGGCTGAACTGTACTGGGGGGTTGTACTACCTTAGCCGCCAATTTTTTGTTATAACAATCGGCAATAAATTTTTGAAACAAAAAATTACCAACCATTGCCTAAAATACTTCAAAAAACCCAATCGGTTCTTAGCTCTGCGTTTTATTTTTATTGGCAACCCTAATTTTCGCTTCGAGACTGAGAATTTTAGTCATTGGGGGCCGATTGGGGGGCCTGGCGGGGGCCCCCGGTCGGCCCGGCCCGGGGGCCGGAAGAGTTCGGCCCGGCCCCGGGGCCTTTAAAACTCGTTCGGCCCGGCCCATTAGCCATGTCTAGTTCAGATATCTGTTTGTTAACGCGCACTAATTCCTTGAGCAGGTTTCTGATGATTTTTGACCCAAAAATATAATTTTGGGAGCTTTTGGGGTGGAAATAATTCTGCTCTGCTCTAATTGTAAACCAGATGTACAATGCCCATGAAAAAAACCCCGTTGAGAAAGTAAAATAAGGCCAAAAATTTTCAGTTGACAACCGTTTTAGTAGTATTGAAAATTTTGAGAAAACCAATAAGCCATAGTTTAGGTACTTCTCCAACAACCTCAGCTTAAAAGTATCAAAAGACAGCAAAATTGTTTTCGTCTCTTCCAAAAACATTTTCCATAGTTTACTTTGTAAACCTTGATACCTCTGAACCTTGAACCTACCATTTCGCGATAAACCCAACTTTTCAAAGCCCTTCAAAAATTCGAAACCAATACTGTTCTCTTCCCGGAAATACATATCCTAGAGATGAACGTTTCGAATACGCGGAATCCCTTCATAAACAATAGGACTCCCAGTGAAGCGTAAAATTTGATTTATTTATGTGTTTTGCAAATTCGGGAATTTATCAAGAGAGATGCCGTTTCACACCCTATTCAGACAAAGCATCAATATGAATTCGGTTTATTCGAAACGTTGTTCATGACAATTTGTTTACGAAACTTTTGGCAAAACTTGGACTCTGCTTAGTTTGTGTGTGTTGTCGCTATGAGGAGCTCTGATGATATTTGGAAGAACGGCTGGGAGGCGGTAAGGCTTTTCTCGACTGCTTAGGTTGCCCGGTGTTACCGCTCTTGCAAAAACTTTTCATTATCTAGTAGGAGAAAGGCTCGAGGTGCGACGCTTAGATTCCAAAGATCCTTGGCATAAATTTAGAGTGTTTTTTTCTAAGGGCATTTGCAACAGTCCTAGCTGGCGCTTTGCTCAATTAAAAACAGATCTTTTTAGTCCGTTATGCAATATTCGGCGCTTGTTACAGGTTTATCCATGAAAAATATTGTACTTATTTCTTGTGGCATCATTTTTACAAAGACGTTTTTCTTCCGCGCGAAATTGGCCCAGATACGGCGAAAAAAAGAATTTGTCTAGATACCCTCCGATTTTTTGCCCACTTTCTCGTCGACAACGGTCGTTGAAAATTTCGGTTGCCCCTGCAAAGCACGAGTTAAGATACTCATGGATTTTAACTCAATATGACATAAAAAAAATACAAATTTCTCGTCCCAAGTTTGACTCAAAAATCTCGCTCGTTCTGCAAAGCAAAAACTAAAAATCTCTCTGAATTTTTTTAGAAAAAGTAAGCGCTAAGCAGACCCTGTAATTTGAAACTTTTTTCTTTAATATTTTTCAAACGGCTCTTCAATAGAAATTATTAACAAGACCCTAGGCAATGCCACCAAGAAGTCGTTCGTCTTTTACATCAAAACATGTAATTTTGGTAATCAAATATAACATGCAAATTTATTATTTCCCCCAGACACTTCCATTGTTTCATAAAATATTAGGGAACATCCTTCAAACCTCTTTTTTCAAGCCAAAGAATGAGTTTCTACAATATTTTCCGTCAAAACAAGGTTTAAAGGTTGAACTTTTTGCGAAACCCGTCCTCATTTCGCCCATTTCCACTAAAACAAAGACACCGCTAATTATTAAGTGGCTTTTGCATCTTTAAGACCTCTTCTAGAGGAGGTAGAAGCTCGGTTCGGATATTTGTATTTTGCCAGTTTTCTATAACTGTGGGAAATTGCGAAGATACGTGTGGCTGGTAAACGAGGAACTGACGGTTCCTTTGCTTAATAGTCGTGGATATGGAGGTGTATTTGCGAAGGATTTTGATGGAGAAAGAGGTAAAATTCAGGGATAAATGTCATGGATTTATGAGGGAGATTTCTGGACTTGCAAATCTAAGGTTTTTTCAAAATTTGATAGGTTTTGAGGAGTTTTTAAAGGTGACTGTTTGTTGTTTGCGCTCTATAGACGTTCTGTATTTACAATCTGCAAAATTTACAATCGAGGGCATGAAAAATGAGGAGGTATGGCCGCAGAAAAAGTATTTTTTTTTTGTTGAAAAGTTTTGTTATACACACAGTAAAAGACTTGTCAAAAAAATGCGTCAGCGTGAAATTTAAAGAGAATTTTTAAATTTACTACACCAAGTTCATAGACCAAAGAATCATATGCAAACCTCGGCCACAACGACGTGCATTTTTGACAGATTCCCAAAAAGTTTTTTGAATTTCCCTTTTTCTAAAGACCTATGAATAATAAATAATGAAAGCAGACACAGCGACCACTTTTAGACGAGGAGTTTTTTCAGTAAACTGAGACTGAGAATGTAATAGGATTGTATATTCCCGTTATTGAAGTTTTTTTTGAGATGATGTGGTGAGAAAGGTAGAAAAGAAACTTATTCTATTAGACGCTATTTGTTAGGTTTGAGAGATGTTGGAGGACGAGGAAAGTGTAAGTTTTTGGGAGAAACTTTTTCAAAAATTGAAATCTTGAAGGTGTGTTTTGAAAAATTGTGAGAAGGACACTTGACCTGGTCAAGTCTTTTTTTTATAAAATCTGTGGAAAATGAAATTCAAAGAACTATCTGTAAGATGAAGTAAAAATTCTGGATAAAATTTTTCGGTGTCCGCAAAAATTACAAAAGTTCGAAAAAAGTTTGTGTCATCATGACGTCATCTTTCCACAAAGAAATCTTAATTTTGGGTCAAGTTTCACTCTGTCCAAAAAGTCTTTCTAAATTAAAAAAAAATTAAATTTCTCAAGCCCCACAATGTCATTTACGGAAAAAATTAAAAATTCCAAAAATGAGTCAAGTCTTTCTCTCTGCAAAAATTGCATCCAAAAACAAAAAAAAATTGATTTTTGTCACAAAATTTTTCGATGACGCTATACAAATATAATTTAAAAATTTTTCCTTTTGCGTCAAGTCGTTCCCCACGCAGAAACGAACGAATTAGACAAATTTCTTGGGCCCAAAATAATCTCGGCCGCGCATCTCAACGATTCTCCTTTTGTTTTTTCACCCCCAAATTGGGCATTCTAATGACTCTTTCGCCTTCAAACGTTGAAATTTCCTCTTTTCAGAACCGGAAGATGTCTTGGGTGGATATGATCGCGTCCTCAGCCACCAACATCCGCAAAACTGATCCTGGAATGACGCGTAAGTTGAGATTTTTTAACTTTTTATTTTTTGTTTCCAAAAAAAAATTTTTTATTTTTCAAAGGGATGAAAAAAAATCTTTCCTTTAATTAAAGTTCAGTCATGGATAAAATAAATTTTTTGGTCAAAAAGCCTTTGAGATTTCACTGAGCTTGGCAAGGATTTGAGAATTTGTAGTTTTACGGTTATTGCTTCTAAAATATTCAAAGTGTTTGCAAAAAAATGAAAAAAAAAACATTTTTTGTGTTTTTCTGAAGGGCAAGCTCAATTGGAGCCTTTTGTTTTTGTACTATTTATGTAGCTTGTATTCTCTGGAAACTTGTCATTTTGTACCCTACGGGTCTCCAGTTCCCGTCAGGGCGTTCGGGGCATAACTATATTTTTTCGGACGTCACCTGAAACTGGATAATTAAAGGTGCTTCAAGGCAGCCAATTTTGGAGCACAGAGGGTGGCAGATAATTTTTCGGAGTTCCACATATATTTTTTCCTAAACTATAAGTATTTTACTAAAAAACTTTTTGTGTGTTTAGGTGATTATAGCCTGTATGTTTAGGCAATTATAGCCAAAATGTTTCTTCGTATTTCTTTCCCAAATTTACTGCAAAAATTATAGTCCATACCAATTTAAGTTCGACGTATTTTACATATTTTTTTAATCGTATTACCACACCATAATCTTTGCTGCCCTACCCGAATTCGTCTGCGTAAAACATTGTTTTATTCAGTGAGAATCTTTGCCCTTGTAATCCGCTTCTCACCGCCGGGGTCTGGGCGCTATTAATTATTCTAATTTTTCGTGCATCCCGAGGGAATTATCTTCAAGTTTGGGAAAGATTATTTTCCCTGATGTTTTCCTCACTAAAACATTGAGGCTTCGTGGGGATGTGTGGGAAACTTACAGTAGAGAAATGTAGTGCGTTGGATCCCCAGACGTTCTGTTGAGTAATCAATGGGCACTTAAGAGGATCTATTTAAGATTTGAGGGGATCTTCGCTAGTGTTTTGGGGCTTTACTTGCAATTTCGACAGCTTACCTTTGAATGTCGCTGTTTTTCAATTTTCGATTCTTTTGAAAGCGCTATTTTCAAAGATCTTTTGTTTTTGTCATCTTTGAAATTGTCTGTTGTAACGCAAAGTGAATGATAAATTTAGTCGACCAGTCTGGATTTAGACAGAATTGAAGGGAATTGGTTAAAAGCCAACACCATATTTGACTGATTTCCCTGAGCATACCAATGTATCAAGTGGATATCGAGCTTTTGTCAATGCACTTCACTTCTGGAGACGTTTTGAGACATGCCAAAGGGCTCACTCATAACGTTGCGCTCTCCTCCAACGACTATTTGTTTTCGCATTTTTCTCCGGCGGCATTTCTTATTGTTAATGCATTGTCTCTAACGACTGTTTAACAGGAACTCGCCGAATGTTTGGATTCGAAGGAAATGGGAGCGGTTTTAGAAGTTAAGCGGGCATCTGCGGCGTTAATTTCGATGAATAATCTCATATGACTTTTTTCGTGGACAGTGGAGGGAGTAATTTCGGTTTAATACTTGCAAAAAGGGTTTAGAACGAGTGTACTGTGTAGGGATTTAATTTTACTAACAGGGGAAGTACTCCAAGTGCGACGCTCATTATTTTGATGAAACTTGGCACAAATTTAAAATTATGTTTTCTGAGATATATGCGAGAATCCTATCTCGCGCTTTGCAGAAACACAAGAGATTTTTAGACCGAAAGTCGGCGAAAATTTAGGACTTTTTGCCGAAGTTCGACACCAAAAGTTTCGTGCCTATTTCAACCGTAAAGGATAATGTTTCTACAAAAAATCAATTTTTTTGTAGAACTGCCAAAGTTGTGGCCAAAAAGGTGTTTTCTCTCTGACCGCTCTCCACGTTTAGCGTGCTCTCTCGGCGGCAAAAATCGTTCGATATCTCGGCGGCGCCGGCAAAGCGCGAGCTAAAACTTTCAGGAATTGATATTTAGTCCCTACCCGACGTGTGTGCAAAATTTAAAGAAGATCTGAGCGTCGCACATGGAGTACTTCCCCTGTTAGTAAAAAATATTTGTGGAACTCCGAAAAATTATTCATATTTTGTGGCTTTTTGTAAACATACTAGGGTGGTCTTATTAGACATGTTTTAGCCGGTGTAATCCTAAAATTACTATATCAGTTGTCGTAAAAGTGCTTTTTGATTTCATATACTGTTGTTTTTTGGAGATTACTGGTGGCTATGATATCAGGTAAATGGAGTAGAGACTCACTTGCGTTTTTAGAATTTTCGTGGCTAACAATACGTGCAATTTTTGAATATTAAAAAATTGTTTATTCTGACTGGACATGCACGCCAGTAATGCGCTAGATGTCCTACAGACTGTAGAAGAAGCAGATGCTAGTTCATGTAAAAAACGGATAGTCTTACCAAGTCCAAAACCCCCACTGGGTAATTGATGCACTTTTGGAGGGAGAGAAAAAGAGAAATTGAAGCACAAAGGTGCAAGAAGTGTAGCATATGGAAGAGCTGGAGCAACAGTAGATGAAGAAACTCTGAGGCTTCTCTGGAACTACAAGCAAGGAATTTCCCGGGTTGATTCTGCCAATCTCCGGTTAGGTCTTCTATAGGGTGACTATAGCCTTAATTACCCTAACCTTGGCTGTAAAATATTAGTAGAGCTATTTTTGACTCGTGCAGTTTGTGACTTAGGATACGAAATGTAAAAAAGTCTCCTTATGACTTAGATGCTTTTAAGCAAGCCAAGCTTATTTTGATTCTCCACAGAATGCAAAATCTTTTGTTAATAAGTTTTTTAAATACCTATCAGAAGGCTTTACAATAAAAATTTTTTTGTAAGCACTGAACAGGGGGTCAAACTCTTCACATGTAAAATTAAATCTTGATTTTGAACCTTTTTTTTTGCAAAAACACTAAAGTCTACATCATTATGAATTAGCATGCCTGTTCCACTCCAATCCGTTGTGTGTAAGCCAGGCACAGTTCAGAAAAACATCTGGAACGTTGGAAATTCCCTGTGTATACATACTTTTGCACCTTTCTATAAGGGCATTAAGAATGTTTGCCGATAATTTTTTCGCTGTGAGAAGCAGCCTTGCCAACGTCACCTTTATTTTTGATAGGCAGAATTACCTTTGCAGTAGGCTCATCTTCAATGATGGCTGCAATCTTGAAAATGACATTTGTTGTTTACTGCATTGGCCTTATCTTTCACAGCAATCCTCTGGTTTTTGCTCGGAGATTTAATTTTCATCATATTTTTCGATTGCTGAAAAGGCCCTCTATTTACTCCAAGGATTAGGGGAGAAATTGAGAATTAATAGTTAGTGGGAGGTTTTGTCATGGAATGCACTTGTATTTGCCGTCATTTTGCAGAGGAATTGGATGGACCAAAAAAGAGAATTTTTACGACTCATCGCAATACCTACACAAACCAATCCCTACTACAAGATTTTTCGTAATTCTTTTAATCCGTCCTTAACTGAGGTACTGTCTTAACAGGAGAAGTGGTCGAAAGCAGCGGTTTAGCTACGGCTTTCACAATGTGTTTCTCAAAGACCAAGAACGGATTTTTTCTGTCTGCCCCGCACAGCGCTCTGGAGTTTTTTAGCTTACGGTTGGTGTCCAAAAAATAAAAAATAATAAATAAGAAGAAGCTATATGTTTTTCATGTATAATATATAGCTAGAAGAGATGATAACAAATTAAAAAAGTCTTTATTTCGTACGGTAACTTGCTTCCATTAGGAATATGTAAGTTTTGTCACCAAATTAAAAAAATTTTAATTTTGACTTTGCCTGTCAAAAAATGTACTTTCTTCGGGCCTGCGATGTTTTATATTTTTTTATTTTTTGGTCACCGATCGTCGGCAAAAAGGCTTCGGGACGCTGTGCCCCGCCTCATTTTTCATATTCTCGTACTTTCAGCGCTTCTCGGGCAATTCATTGAAACTTGTACATGCATAATCTTTCTTCATAGATTTCCCAAAAAATACTGTCTTCTTAGATCACACGTAAACTTTCAATTGTAATTCTCGGCTCTGATATCATCATATCACATCATCTCCGTTCCACAAAATAATTATCCCACTCTGATCAAATCACCCTCTAAACATCTCAAGAATTGTTTCGCAACGTTTTCCGGCACCATACAGATTTGCAAACCCATTTTATGAAATCACCACTTCTATATTTATCACCATCAACATTAGGAATATTAATTTTCGGGAAAAGTGGTTTAACGGGTGATGCGAGCGGGCCTTTTCTTATCCCTGTTTTGTCAACGGATTCCGTCTCAAATTGTTATTTTCACTTCTCGAGAGTGATGAGGGGAAAGCAATACTATAAAAAAGGCTGATTGCACTTGTTTTAGGGCATTAGGGTGTGAATGTTGTTCTTTTATGACCCCCAAGTTTCTCTTCAATTGGTTTTATCAGTAAAAGCCGACCGTTATGAGCATGTCTTTGCCCTTGTTTCAAATTATTCTTTGACGATTTTTTATGCATTCGTTGGATCGTTTTAAGGGCAAAACCGGGACTTCAGGGAAAGAGTTTTCTAAAGAATTTTCTGCACTTTTAGAGATTCTTTTACCATGTCGTTGGTAGGCTAAAATCGTGAGCTTTTCGTTGGCGCCTAATGCTGAAAATGCAGTGATATTTTTGAAAGCAAATTGTAAATTTTGCACTCAAAAAATCAGAGCTTTCCATACAAAATTTGCTAAACTAACCGTCTCTGTACAATTTCTTCTATTCCTAGTCTGCGAACGCCATTGAATATTCTAACTTTTCCCGTAAAGTATACGTTAAAATTCATGCCCTATAAGGCAAAATTTTTCATCGCACAGAAGAACTAGGAGTACCATTGCTTAATGATGACATTTTTTTAGACCAACCGACAAGCAAAAACTTGCAGCGAGGAGATTTTTTTTTGTTCCAAACATTCTCCCCTATAGTATTTATATAACACTTTTTACCACATCACCTCTGAATTCTAAAGTCCCTTTTTGCATTCTGAATTCCAAAAAAATTTCCAACTTTCCGCGTTTTGCTACTTTTTCGAACTCCAGAAAACCCGTGTTAAACCTTTTTTCTCGAAAAGTCAAAGATTACATAATAACTGGTAACACAAATCCCATTTCGCGCCGATTCGGGTATTATGTTATTTCGGGTATTGTTCTGAAAAGAAAAGTTGGAGAGCCTGAGGTTCGGTGCCAGGAAGGTCGGAAAAAACTTTTTTGGAAAGGATTTCGGTTAAGGATGACAAAGTAACACGAGGTTTTTTGGGGACATGGAGGTAGATGGGGTAGATTATTTTGATTTTTTTGAGGCTTTTTTTTGCTTACACCTAGATTTTTTTGCTGTAATATTTGTTGTCTCCTCTCAAGTTTGTCCAAAAATAGTTTTTTTTAACAAAAATGACTTTTTGGACTAAAATCCTTCATTAGAGCACGAGTTTAGCCCCAAACACTAAATTTCCGTCCACTTCAGCGCCCCTATTTCCCCCCGCAAAACTTTTTAGATCTATGTCAATCCGTGTTTATGACATAATTCCGCAAGTTTTGTCTCGAAAAAGTTCCTGTCAAAATGTGTGACGATGCGTATGCGTTTCTGGTCCTAAACTTTCTCGAAAACAAGGTGTGTTCGTTGTAGTCTAAAGCCCAACAATGGACTTAATAAAGGCATTTTTAACCGCTTTCGCGGAATCCGAGAGGAACGGTGAGAAGAGCTGGGTCAATTGGGGGTGTTTCGGCTCATTTGCCGTTCTCGAATTTAGGTGGGACCGTGCGAATTTGTCACAGAAGTGTTCTTGGAGACGCTGGCAGGAAGTAGATTTTATTTTGATGTAGTTTCGATTCGGAATTTATATTAGGAACTGTTGGCCAGCATTTTTTTGGCATGATATTTTGTGTAGCGGATGGCTGAATTTTGAAATTTTGGCTTATTTTTTGCCGATGCAACCGGGATATCATCAACGGAAAGCCGAGGCTAGACAAAAATCGTTTTTCTGCCAAAATTTTATTTTGAGTTTTTCGCTGGAAGCTTGAATTTATTTGCTTATTTTACACGTTTTTACATCATAAACTTTACAGTGCGGGACCTGATCCAGTGGCAAAAAACGTACCATTTTGTATCCGGGAAGTATCAAAAATGTGGCAAAATGCTTCCCTCTCCAAGTGAAAAAACTCCGATTTCAAAAGCGCGCCCGCTCTTTTTTTTGAGGTAAAGGGCCCTTCAAAGCGAAGTTTTTTCACTTGGAGAAGGAAGCATTTTGCCACATTTTTGAGACTTCCCGGATGCAAAATGGTGCGTTTTTTGCCACTGGATCAGGTCCCCCACTGTAACCTTCCGCTTATATTTCCTCCTTTTCTCAAGGCGCAAGCTAAAGATCTCGTATACCTTTTGGAAACATCTAACCGTAATTTTCGAATAGTTTCTTCAAAGTGTGAGCCCCATGCCTATAAAACAATTTCTAATCAGAACTGTCATCTAGACGTTGTTTGGGCAAAACTAATGAAAACTCGCGCACTTTTTTGAAAAATTATAGAGATTTCCGCGTTCGAATGACCTTTGTGCATCAAAAGCGCCTTCTTTAACAAAATTACAGTCCGTATCTTCACATTCTTCCTCCACTCGTGGAAAGACTTGCTTATTTTTGCTTTGTCTGACAAGGAAGCGGGCTTATTTACATGCTAAGATGTATACCACTGATCTTTCGGTCTTGTTAGACCCGCGCCATTTTTCTGCTAGCAATTCCGACGCCTTGAGACACTCTTTGGGCATTCCACAAACGTTTGCTAATTGACCGATCGCCGCTTTAATGGCAGTGCCAACAAACGTCGCTTTCTCTAATTCTGAAAACGGCCGAAGGAAGGGCCGAGGCGAGGTCCGGCATGGCCGAAATTAGGCAAATTCAAAGGCGAGAACGACACAAACCGTTCCTAAACCGGAGGGCTTTTAGAGGGGATTCTTGGATCCCTAAATCTCAAATTTTTTATTCTTTAAAATACGCACTTTGTTCTTGTTGAAATTTAAAATTTTTGAGTTTTTATTGCATAGTCATAAAGTGCAACTTCCGTAATTATAGAACCCCTCGTTGATGTCATCAGCCCTTCCGTTTTAGTCCTCATTTTTGTAATTGTTTTTTCAAAAGGACCTAAAGACTAAGTTAGTCAATAGGCCGCTTCGAATAAACAGCATTTGATCAAGTGGTTCAAAATCGTAGGAACGCCACGGTTAAACTCTAATTAGTTAACTAAGAGGCTTTAAGGAACGCTTATTTTTGCATGATGATTGGTCATTAAAGTCGTTCGCGGAGAATTACGGGAGTTTAGAAGTTATCAAAGGGTTGTAAATTACGCCGTATTTTCTGTGGTCGATTTTTCGAGACCGTGTTGTTGTTTGGAGACTCTAACTGATGCAGTAATGATGCACTGATTATGACATGATGCTCAGATTTTTCCAGATTCTGTGTGAGTCATCCCACTTTATTTTAATAGGAAATTACTTCGATAGTATTTTTGTAAGCTCTGCAATGGGCTTTTTCGGACAAGACACCTGAAAAAAACACATAGGACTTTTCCAAAAACGCAATTTCCGGCGATACCTTGGGGATTTGTTAACATAACAAACTTTTATCGAATCAAGGCCCTAGAAAGTACTTTTGTAGTCTATTTGGGAGTTTATTTTTCGTTGGCCTCTATAAGGCACACGCTAAAAATCCTCGAAATTCTGTGGTTTTCGCTCAAACTAAGTTCTGTCAATATCCATGCATATTGAATGCTTACCCCACAACTTGATTTTACACGTACCACAGGGCGTACTTTTGGCCTCCAAATCTTGCAACATTATCTTAGCCTGCTCTTCTATTCGCATGAATCGCATCATTCAAATTGCAACAGTTTCCCATATCTCTCCATCGATTCGTTGAACTCAACTCATCCCTCTGTCTGTGACCACTTACCCGCGACCTCCCCATTTCTCCAAATCGCTTAGGAATGTATGTAATATCATAACCAGCACCCCTTTGCATAAATTAGCAGGCGCGTTTATTTTTACATCTTCTGACGTCCGAAAATACATTTAAAATTAAATCTTTTCCCCTCGCGGAAAGTAAACGTTCGCCTCGGTCCATAATTCGAGGTGTGAAAATGGGCTTTTCGTGGCGATTTATTGTTATGGGCAATAATTGAAGGCGGAAACGCCCAGAGGTTAGCGGAGAGATGAGGCCGTTCGCTGGAGGCGCGTTCTGGAACGATGGAGTTGAGTGGCGGGGATGAGGTGTTTCTTAGTGTTAGAATTCTTATGAATAGAGCGAACGGTTGCAAGAGCGAATAAACATGGTCTTTTCAGTGCTCAGCTTTATTTTGACTAGTATTAGATGGACTTTTTTGAGCTCTCTAGGAGGTTCAATTTGGACGACTCTTTGAATCCTGAAACATTTTACCGATGAATTTCTTGAAGTGCTGTGCTCGTATCATCGTGAGATTATTTGTTCGTAAGGTCATTAGAGAACAGACAGATAGCGTTATGCAGAAAGCATTGAGATTTTCAGGGTCGAAAGACCGAGAATCCATTTTCCATCCTTTACCAGATCTCCTGCGTCTCTGTAGGTTCTCACATACACAGATTACTGAATATTTCGGTTACGCCTACAAACTGCTAAGCAAAAGTTTCAGGCAATATCAGTCCTCCTAAGCACGTCTCTAGCTCAAAATTTCAAGAGGATCCAAGATTTATGCGCCTTTAATATCAAGTACTGTTATCATGATCTCTAGGAAAATATTTTCTTGATTTCCTTTTCTCTATGTTACAACTGTCTTGTTAATCTTAATACCGCGAGAACTTCAACTTGTGGAACATTCCTTTCTCTAAAATCCATTTAGAAGCACTTGGAGCTTATCCCACACCAATATCATGTTACCACCTCACATTGCTCAATTGCACCATTAAATCGACATATTTGTCCTCGAGATGGCATCTGTCCCCAGCTCGCCACAAAAGGACCTTCAGGACTTGCGGAAGAGCCGGAGAGAAAGCGTGGTCCCAGACAGACCATCACTTTTATCACCCACAACGCCAGTGAGCAGCCCGCTGGCCAGCACGTCGTGGGGCCTGGCCAGCACTTCGAGTATTCTGATATCCAAAAAAGTGTCAAGAAAATCGTCAAAGAACTCGATACCTCCGCTACCTCAGAATGGTGCGTACATTAGAAGAGGTTCCACTTCTGCGGCGTTAATGAACTCGTCCAACTCGCTGTGGCAGACGCTGGTCAAGACAAAACATGGGCCCTTTCCGGGCATAGATGCCACCAAGGACAGTGTGAACAACAATGACCCCAAAGCATCATTGATCGAGAAGAAGAAGGCGGCCTTAAGTCGTCGCACCAATTCCCTGGTCGAATTAGCCGCCAAAACAAGTAAACAGTCCAACGAGAAGTCAGAGGAAAGTCTCCCGTCCACTCACTCGTCGCCCCTCCGGCCGAATGGTCTGCTAAAGCGCGACATGCGGTTTTGCTGCTCGTTTCGCCGACCACGCCGCGCCAAGACCTCCTCGAATTTGCTGGAGAACAAGAACAAACAACCCAACGTGCCGCCCTTCGGATTGGTCAACGCGTCCGCCATGAGCTTGATTAATGACCCGAGTGTGGCCAGACAGGCGATTTCGCTGCTCGAGGCCCAAATGAAACCCAACCCGGAAACCGTGAAAATGCTGGTGGAGGAGGAGAAGGCGGTGGAGGAGGGTCAGGAAGTGAAAAGGCCGCATGGATTGGAAAGTATCACATCTCCATGTAAGTTAGAGAAAGTGAAGTCATCATTTTTCAATTTTAAAAAATTGAAAATTGATGACTAATTTTGGTTTTTTAAGTCCTTGAGAAGCTACAGAGAAAAATAATAATTTACAAAAAAAAGTTTATCCATGACTGAAAAAAAAATCAAATTTAGATCGTGCGGCTCACAAAGGTACTGTTAAAACATAAAAATTATCTTGAATATGTGGAATTGGCCGTTTTTTCGGCCAAAAAATCTCAAAACCCCATGCTCCAAATCTGTTTTTTACTTCCTTTTCGCACATTCCCGAAAAACTTTACCCTTCGAAGCGAAACAACAAAAAAAAACTGCAGATTGGAGTTGATGGATGTTGTTCATCCCCCTCTTCGACATGTCCAAAAAGCACAAAAAATATTTAACATAAAAAGCGCGGCCCCGGCCCCAAGAATAATGTGCGGGGATATGTCAAGAAAGGGATGAGTTTTGTGTTGCTCCGCCAATCTATTCCCTTTGTTTAAGGGCATATTTAAAGACTCGTGTTTTTGGAAGGGGTCATGTGTAGTCTTGGGTATTTTTTGGAGGATTGACGAGATTTTTAAAGGGGTTTTTGGGGATTTATTGGGTTGCTAAGTTGCGATTTGCAAGAAAATACAGTATAAACTTTGCAAAACGCAAATTAAAAACCTTTTTCTGTATGTTTTGTATCCTCAAATTTGAGATTTTTTTGATTTTTAGAACATTGAAAGTTCTAAAAGTCCTGTTGTTTTTCCCCAATAAATTTATTCACTGCCAAAATTTTTTAACCATATGCATTTTTAAAGCGGCTCCTCTTCGAGTAAATGCATTTTTTAGCCGCTCTAGTTTTTGAAAGCCCCAACTTTTTTCTCCCTTTTTCGTCAGCTAAAATCCCAAGATTGCTGTAAATGACAAACGCCAAACAATTCACTGTGTCCCACGCACTCTAATTACGAAATAACACCATAATAGGCGGTGCCGAACCCGCCAAACCCTTTGGATTTTACAACAATTTCATGTTTACTCACAAAGTAGCCGGACAAACGACGGAAATTGACTTATAATGTAATTTATTAGATTTCTTTTGGCCTTTCAGGGAAGCCTGTTTCTTCACGGCGTGAATATCGAATTTTTCGGTGGATTTGCAAAAAACGGCATAATCTCTTCGAGGAGCGGTTAGGAAGTAGTTCTCCCTACTTCTTTGTTTGCGGAAAGTTTCCAAAATTCGGCTTTTTCGATATTTGAATCTAATAAAGGCCTGGGTAATGTTTGCTGAACTTTTTTTTGGCCCGTTTGCATTTCATTTGCCTGGCGGGGAAGATATTGGGCTGCCGCCGGAATTTGACGCTAGAATTGATTAGAGACGTTGGATTGGGAGGTGTAGTCGCAATGCATTCGCGGGATGTGTCATTTTAGCGGTTTAAGGAAGCAAAATTTTCAAAACTCATGAAAAATTTTAAAAGTTTTGATCTTTTTTTAAGTTAGAGTTAAGTTAAAAGTGCTAAAAAATGGATATTGGGTTTCTCTAATGCTTTTAACGAGGTAAATTTTATCGAATTCCACTTGGGAGTTATTGTGTTAGCACTTTTTCTACCTCGGGAGTAAATTTTTGCTGGATTTATAGTTTGAAAATTGTGTTTTTATTAATTTTCAACCCGTCATTGACTTTTGCTAAACTTCCTAATTCCTATTGAAGAGCTCATAGGGGTCGCTAGATGTATTTTTGAGGCTTCTAGACCGCAAAATAAACATTATCCAGCTCCAAAATAGAAAATTCGATCTTTATCCCTCAACGAACCCCTTACTTTTTAATTAAAATGCCCTCAGTTCACCAGCACTTTGTTGTTATTTGGACTTTCACACAAAATGGTCGAAATTTCCACAAGTGCTGGGAGAACGGAGTAAAAAACAGTGTTCTTCAGCCTCTTTCCAAACCCCGAAAAAGCACTTTTCGTTTGGAAGGAACGGAAAGGGAAGGAAAGCGTGGCCCTGTGGCGTAATGGATAACGCGTCGGACTTCGGATCCGAAGATTGCAGGTTCGAGTCCTGTCAGGGTCGAATAACCTTTTTGGTTATTTTGAATTATAAAATACGATTTTTTGCCTTTTGAAGTTTGAACATGAGAAACCAAACATTTTCAATGCTTAACTTTACAATTTTGGGGAAGAAAATTTTCAGTTTTTCGGCTAAAATGCGATTTTTGACAAAAAAAATAAAGTTTTTATCCTTGAGATTAGTGACAAATTCTGCACCAGAGATTACCGCTCTCGCCAACGCTCCTAACGGCGTTTTTCCAAAATTTTCCTTCATTTCACAACCAACGAGGAAGCAAAAAACACCCGACATTCCACAAACCCCTGGCATTTATAGTCATTATGGAGCTATTATGTTGTCCGTAATCTTTTCGAAAAGGGTTTCCCAAAATCCCCAGTCTTCACACATACATGGGCATTTGAGCAATTCCCTCTTGGTTGGGCGGCCATATGTCCTCGGTGAATCACGGAGACAGTGTGAAAAAAGCAACCGTGTTTTTTGGGTTGACTGAAATGGGAATTAGGGGTTTTATTAGGGTGTTTAAAAATTCTTGCGCGAGCTTTTTGGACACTTTTTAGTTTTTGAAAATTACGGCTTAACGCTAAAATTTTGTTTTTCAAAATTTCCACCTTTAAAACGCTTTCCTTCCAGTGCCTTACTTATCCATTAAAACGCAATGATCGAGAAGCCCCAATTGTCCCATAGCCACTGAAAATTTCATCCCATTAAAGGCAGCCGCAGGGTAATTAGCGTCCGCCTCGAAAAGTCAAATGAGCCGCACGATCTGGAAAGCCGTCCCGAATTGAAACTATGGATCTGAGCCGCTTGCAATACTTGTTTCCGGATCAGGACGAGGAGGAGGGCCGGGAGAATAAAACTCTGAATGCCCTCAAGGAAAGTATTCAAAACTCTTCATTTTTAGTGCGCAAACTCAGCAAGGCCTTCTTCAACAGCCAGAACAATGATCGAATAGGTTGGTTTACATTTTGAAATTTTTCTTGGGTTTGGGATTTTTGAATTTTTTTTATTTTTTAAAAATATTATACCAAGGTCAAGAAGTGGGAAATTTAAAAATAATATTTTTATGAAAATATTTTTTTATTTTGGGATTTCAAATCTTTTTTATATTTTTTTACAGAAATGTAGATATAGGTTGAAAAAAATAATTTTATTCAAAAAAAACAATTTTATTAAAAATTTTTTTTTTATATTTTGTTTTTTTTTTTGGCTTATTTTCTTACTTGCAAAACAAAAAAAATTAAGAAAAAACTCAATTTCCTGGCTAACAAATTCAATTTTAAAAAATTTCGTTCCGGATTTTGACTCATATTTTTCTTGTCTTTCTTCAAAAAAAAAAAAAAATAAAAATATTTTTCTTTTTTTTTCTAAATTTCTCATTTTTTTCTCGATTCTTATCATCTCAAATCTTGCTACAGTAGTCTTAATTCCGCATACACATCAAACATTGACCTTTTTCGACCAAAACAATCTTCTCTCTCTGGCCTAAAATAAAATGACCTTATCCGATCTCTAATGCATAAATCGGAACGGCCCCAACAAACGTTTGGAAATTCGAACGTTAAACCCGAGCGGATTTCAATTTCCGACATCGTTTTCCTTGTCGTTCCTCCAGTTTGAAACGTGAACCTGAAACGGCGAATTTGCCGTTATTCAGAGCATCACGGGATCTCAGTCCGTTTGGAACATCTTGGTCTGCATTTGCTACGTAAAGAAGAGATTATTGAGTATTTGAAAACCAGTCGACTAATTGAAAAGCTTGTAAAATACGTTCCGAAAAGGCTATTGAAGTAATTGGAAGAGGTAAGTGGATTATGGGATTTTTTGGGAAAAATCAGGATTTACTTTGGTTCAAGGGAACTTCAAACTTGAACGCTCACATTTTCTTTAAATTTTATACAAGCCAAGACCCTTGGTCGCACATCAATTCCTCAACATTTTAGCTCGCGCTTTGCAGCGGCAACCCAACATTCGCAGTGTTTTGTCGTCTTTGCCGAAAAAGACTGCGCGGAATACGGAGGGCGCGCAGAGAAAACTCCAGTTGGCTATATGGAGTTTTTTCTCCGCCAATTTTGACCTAAAAAAATTGATTTCTTATGGAAACATTGCCCTTTCCGATAGAAATAATTCTGTAGTTTTTGATGAATTAACGGGCCAAGGCTGTTTCAAACATTGACCGACTTTTGCGCTGAAAATTTCGATTTTTTTCTGCAATCCGCGAGCTAGACTCCTTGCATATATTATTTTGAAAAGACGGTCTAGAACTCCGTAAAGTTTTGTCAAAATCTGAGCCTAGCCATTTGAGTAATTCCCTGGTAAATTTCATTTATGAAAATCCACAAGAAGAAAGTTTCGATTCTCCAATTTCCTAGTAAAACCGCAAAACTGCACACATGCTTTGCATATGTCTTAGAAAATTCTGGTCTCAATTTAAGCCAATTTATATGGAGATCATTACTTCGCACTTTGAGAACTCTCTTTTACAACATTTTATTTTAAAACTCCTCTCTTCTCATAGTCAATCCAAATCTTCCTGAATAACCTGTCCCAAGGCGCTATATTTGCTATACAAAGCTTTACTATTATATATTCTTTACTTTCACCTTCAATTTTTACATATTTGTACTCTTATCCCCAAATTTAAATACCTTTCGATTGTTTCCAATTTGCCTCAAATTAATTCTGACATTCCGGAAGAGCGGAACGTTTACCCGCTCTGTCTCCTTGAATGAATAATTCTTGTTCATTTGGAATGCAAACACTTGCCGTTGGGACAGAAATTAAGGCCAAGAATAATTGAGAATTGGGAAGGGGGTGCATGTTACATTAATTTTAATTTTTGGTGCCGGATACGTCCGCCGTTTCCTTGTTTGCGGGGTTTTTAATTACTGTCGAGGGTATTTGTTGCACGGTCTGCTGGGTAAACTTTGTCATAGTGAGCAGAGATGATGTTTTATTTTGAGTTTTTCGGAGGCACTGACGATGACTTTACAAAACTTGACATAAATTATTTTTTTCAAGACTTATGTATGGCTTATTTTGCTCGCACTTTCCAGAAACAGCCAGGATTTTACGTACAAAAGTTGGCTGACAAAGAAATTTTTTTATATACTTTTTTTGCTTATATCCTTGTGCTCTTTGAAGCACCAGATCCAAGAGGTTTAAGTCGTGCTTAAAATTCGAAGTCGTGCGTTTTTAGAAAATGCAAAAGAATTTTTTTTGGTCTCGGCGGAGAGACCTCTTTTCGGCGGAGACATTTGATGCCTTTTTTGAAAATTACATCTCGTTACAAAGCCACCCCTTCTCTATTACGGATGAAATTAGGTTTGCCACATCTGGCAGAACGTTGTCTGTTTGTCTCGGTAGCTTTTATAAGCAAAAATTTATATAATATGTCTAGAAGCACCCTGTATTTCTACCGGTGAGGCCAAGGTTTTTACAAATAGGCAGCTTTTTTCGCGCGAAATTTTGCACAGATTTGATAAAAAAAAATTTCGTTGCCATGCTCCTTATTAAACGCATTTTCTCACCGACAAAAGCCGCTGAATTTTTCGGTGACCTCCTGCAAAACTTGAGCTAGAATTTCAAGAAATAAAATATTCCAATTTTTTGCAAATTGTTATTTAGCAAGACGTCTCAAAAACCTCCCTAAATCTTAGCGAAACCCACGTAATCTTCCCTTATTTCTACACCTGATATGGCTCAGACGTCCAAGTCACCAACTATAGTATGTGCGTTGACAAAATTCTCGAGACTTCCTGAGTCCTTACAGGTCTTCAAATCAGAAAACAAAAACAGCTAACACGTTGTTTTTAACTCTTATATTTACCACGAAAAGGTCTCAAAAACACTGTCTGGATCCCGCAAGTCTCTTTAGTGATCATAGATGTCGTAGTCGCAATGTCTTCTACGGAAGAATAGCTTCCTAAAAATGTTTTTTCCGAAGGTGTTTCCGACGAACGGAAGCTTCCTTTGCCCGTGGATTCGAAAAAAAATAATAATTTTCCGGCCAAAAAGTGAATTGTTTTTTTTTTCTCTTTAGGTCCTGGCAAAATGCTTTCAATGCCATTAATTTTCATGGCTGTTTACGGGGAAAACGTTGAAATTCTCGAAACAGGGGCATAAACATTTTTACGGGTCGTTGGAGGTTTTGAAAGCTTGGGGAAGCAAGTTTTTCAAGTTATTAGTAGTACTGTTTTGGGTTGTGAATAGTTATTTTTTGAAGTTTTTAAACTTTTTTTTGTATTCCTGAGATTCTTGTTTTTATAATTTTTGGTTTTAAATTGTACTTTAAGTTGCCTGAAAAGACGTTAAATGACTTTTATGATGAACTATACATGTTATGTTATCTTTCAGTCATCTTCTGGCTAAATCTGACATTGAATCCTATAGTAAAAGTCCATTTAATATAATAATGAGTTAACCGCACAGTGCATGGCAAAAAATTAAAATTGGCCATTTTTGGGATTTTTGTGACAGTATTCTTGCAATTTATGGTCGTATTTTACTTCGATAACCTTCTGTTACATCACAAATGACTTTGTGTTTAATTTTTTCAATTTTTTTAATTTTGAGATTTTTTTAATTTTGAGATTTTTTGAATTTTAGCTCAAAAATACAGTTATGACCCATTCAGGCATGTCTAACTCTATGTCTAGCCAAAAAAACCATTGAAGATGTTAGAACTTCCTAAATTGGCCGCCTCCCTCGCTTTGTTTCTGCGGGGAACGCCAATATTCCCCTATGCATTTTATTATCCGGCAAGTAACGGAGAATCCGGAAATTCGATTTGCACTCGATTCTTTGTCCTCTGTAGAAAATAGCAGCCGAAATCATTTTTACTTTCTTCGAGGTATTACTACGGGAATGCAAAGACTTTTTAGGACTTTCTTTTCGATTTTGGGATTTTTTACATTAATTTAGAGCTTATTATAGGCAATAAGCAGTTTAAAAAAAATCTGGAAGGCGCTGATAAATTTCGAATAGGGTTTTTTACCTTTTTAGCCTTCCTTTATGTCATAAATAATTCCAAAAAAGTTAAAAAAATATTTATAGAATAATGAATTTTTAATCCACGCTTAAAAAAATTTCGCCAAATTTGGTATTCTTTTTATTATTTCCCAGCGCTTTTCGAATTAATTTTTCACTGTAATGTCCTTTTAATTACTATTTATTCCTTAGGCCTACACTTTTTTTAAGTCGCAGTCAGTTTCCGAGCGCTCATTAACATAATTGCTTGCGTAATTTAAAGTGCGGTGTGGCATGTTTTATTTACATGTTGCAGTAATTATAGGGATTTAAAATTTGAGTTTTTTTCTGCGCAAGGTCTTGAGGGGATTGGGGTTGTCATCTTTACAATTTGTGGGTCTGACTTTCTGGATTTACAGTATAGCTTCCGGACAACAAAACCCCTGCATGTAATGAAGATTGCAGAGTTTGAACCTCGTTTTTAAGGCTTCCAAGACGTAATCTCGCAGAATTTTTGCAGTCCGTCGTCGTAAAATGGGATTGGCTGCAGTTCGAAGTAATTTATAATACAATCGTAAAGTGGATCCTCCGCTGTTTTAAAACTAATCTTACCTCGTCTTATGGGCCTGATCCCAAAAAATCTGTGGTATTTCGTCTTCCATGCCGAAAAGACAATATTCAAATGTAGTTTTTGTGGTCCTTTACCTCTGACCTTGTTGATAACTCTACGATTTTGCCAGGTCATAAGCTGCCAAGTCATCCAGAAAATGTCTACATCAAGAAAGGGGTTTTGATTGTGAAGAAAGTCGTGGGCTGTTTTGTTTGCAAGGATTTGCGATTTTTTAGTCATCATTGCTGCTTGTTTTCTCTTTTGATTACTTCCGATCATACTCAAGAAATCAGCCTGTAGGCATCTTCATTTTTTCCTTGACTTTTTTTATTGCAACTAGAATTTCTAGCGACTTCTTTTTTCAATTTTTAGTTCAAAATTTGCAAAAACGTGC